CCCCCCCCCTAGAAAGTTAATCGATTTTTTTTGCCCCCCCCCCCTAGAAAATTTTCTGCGGGCGTCCATGGTCTGGGACCATATTCAGAACTTTATCAGTTTTAAAAGTCTTGGACCTAATTCGGAGCTATATCAGTCTTAAGTCTATGACCAAATTCTTGAGACGACGTTGTAGCGTCTGTTATATATACAACTTCGCTACAGAGCAAATTTTTACCTATATCAGTCATAAGCCTAGGACAGAATTCTTAACTATATAACTTGTGTGACAAGAATTAGGCTTTGTCCCAACAATCTTGGCCCATCAAATAAAATCTGGGTCAATTGTTTTCAGCACGTATGGGTGCTTGTCTTAGACTTCTCGTCGGCATTTAACACCATGCAATCACATCTCAAGATTAAAAAGCTTTCTTCGCTGGTTGTAAATTTAAATAGTCAGGCGTGGATGCTGAACATTTTAAACAAATCGCCCACAGCATGTCAAAGTAAATGGCCAACTATTATAAACTAGAGAAATAAGTACCAGGGCGCCACAAGGTTGTGATGTCTCCCCAGTCGTCCTATATACAATATATACCAATGATATTCAGCGCCAAAGCGACACGGTTCCAATCATTAAATTTGACAATTCCACCGTCGTTGGCTTAATATCAGAATGGGAAAGTTTATACTAAAACTTAAGTTTGTGTGATGAAAATTTTCTTCTGTTGAATGTCTCCAAAAAAAAAAAAAGAAAAAAAAAAAAAAGAAAAAAAAAAAAAAAAGAAACGAAAGAAAAGCGCTGTCTATTTCCAGAGGGGGGAATCACCCAATGGCAGATCTCACAATTTAAAAAAAAATACAGTATAGAGCAAGTAGAGATCTATAATTACCTAGGTTTCAAAGTTAGAATATGCTGACAAGGCATGAACACGTCAAAATTCTCTATTTAAAATTTAAACCAAAGATTTTTCTATCTTAAAAAAATTGTACAATTTTGGCTTAAACAAACAAGTAATTAACTTATTTTACAGTGTAACAATTGGAACCCTACTGAACTTCAGTATTAACTGTTGGTGTGGGAGTGGGGGCTCATCTTCTGACACAAAACACTGATTAACTAGACTAATCAAGCAAAAAAATTAATATCACATAAACTAAATAAGCTTCGCTCAAATATATTATTATATTTGAAGCAAAATGTTGTTGTAAATCTAAAAAAACAGCTATGGACAATACATCCCACCTACTTCATCACAGATACCTAAGATCACATCCCATTCACTTCATCACAGATACCTAGGATCGCATCCCATCCACTTCATCACAGATACCTAAGATCACATCCCACCCACTTCATCACAGATACCTAAGATCACATCCCACCCACTTCATCACAGATACCTAAGATCACATCCCACCCACTTCATCACAGATACCTAAGATCACATCCCACCATCTTCATCACAGATAACTAAGATCACATCCCACCCACTTCCTCACAGATACCTCAGATCATATTCCACCTACTTCATCCCAGATTCATGAGATTACATCGTACCCATTACATCACAGACACCTAAGATCACATCCCACCCACTTCATCACGATACCTCAGATCACATTCCACCCACTTCATCACATACACCTAAGATCACATCCCACCCACTTCATCACAGATACCTAAGATAGCATCTCACCCACTTCATCACAGATACCAGAGATCCACTGATCAGATCTAATTCTTTACTTAAATTTAGAACCAAAAAATATATAAAAAAATCTTTAGTTTCCCAGTCTGTACGAAGTTACCCGAGTGCTCCCCCAAGCGGTTTCCCAATCTAATTGATGACTGCCAACCATGAACAATGAATACATATAGAGAGAGATAGATAATAACTTTTCTTTTATTTATTTGTCCACAGCTCCAGATCCGGTTTCATCACCAGGCGTCATGTTTGGCTGCTGCTGCCCCCACCCTCATATCGGCTCGGAGCAGCCCATCCTGGACGTGGCGAAGATACTGCAGGACTACGTGTGGGATAGTTTTAAAGCCCTGCCGGAGAATAGACTCGCCCGGCCGTTCCTACGGCGCAAAAGCTACTCAGTCGACGTGCCCATGAGCTACTTCGTCTTCGAGACGTTGTCCCACCGACAGGAGCTGACGCCGAGGGTGAGGTCGGAGCTGGGAGACCTCGCGCACATTTTGGACAGCAAGAACAGGGACAAAAAGGTTAAAGAGCACGAGAAGCTGGTCACGAGCGACACCTACTACGAGAACAAAACCAACGTGGAGCAGACCTACAAATTCCGATTGGAGAAGACCCGCAAGGCTTCGCTGAGCGTCACCTTCACGAGGGGATTCACCATCAACGGGAATGCCCGATTCTCAATCAAGCTGCCGCCGGCCGACTGCGGTCCCAGCGGGGATCTAGGATGCACGTTCAACATCTCCAAGGCGACGACGGAGGTCATCGAGGAGACGGTCGTGCTGGAGACCACGAGTGACATCCACGTTGAGAAAAACTCAAAATTCGTCGCCAGGGTGGCGCTTGCCGAATCCGAGGTCATGTACGACTTCAAGGTTTCCACGCTGATGAGGTTCGCGTCGGACTGCGCCCTGGGAACCGTGACGCGCAAGAGCGACAACCGTGTCTTCTACTCGACGGCCATCAAAAACTTGAACGACGTGTTCAGGGGTTTCGTCAAAAAAATCCCACGTCAAGATCTTACCGCTGGACACCAAACACGAAACACAGCAGTATGCCATAGAGCTGACGACAGTCGGGGTCCTCGATGGGGTCAGACTCTCTAATCAGTATATTTTTCTGGAATCCCTTCCACTGTCCGGTGAAAATGTTGATGTCAAGTTCGTTCACTCCGACAATCCCGCTAGAAAATGGGAGAGCACTCCTGTTATAGAGGAGGTTGATGAGGACGGTGGGGGCGATAGTTACCCGGCACCCCATTTCAGCTTGGGGCCCCCACCCATACCTTCAATTGTGATGACGTCTCCTAATTCTGTGTGCTCCAGTCCAATTTCAGACAGAGAACTCAGCGACGCATCAGACACCAGTAAAAGTACGACTGTATAGATACAATCATGATTACAGACAGAAAAACTGTGTAGACGCAATTATGAATACCGGTAGCAAAACTGTATTTTATTAAAAAAATCAAGTTGACAGGTAAAAAGACTGTAAAGACACAATCGTGATTGCAGTCTGCACTACAGTATATGCATAATCATGATTCTGGTAGCACGACTGTATAAACACAATCATGATTCTGGTAGCACGACTGTATAAACACAATCATGATTCTGGTAGCACGACTGTATAGTCACAATCATGATTAGATATGTCTGGATTAGAGAGGTAAATAACCGGATCTCAAATGTAGTTTATAGCATTTTTATTTACTTCCTCACAGATAACTAAGATCATATCCCACCCACTTCATCACAGATAACTAAGATCATATCCCACCCACTTACTCACAGATAACTAAGATCATATCCCACCCACTTCATCACAGATACCTAAGATCATATCCCACCCACTTCATCACAGATACCTAAGATCACATCCCACCCACTTCATCACAGATACCTCGGATCAAATTCCACCCACTTCATCACAGAAACCTAAGATCACATCCCACCCTCTTCATCACAGATAACTAAGATCACATCCCACCCTCTTCATCACAGATAACTAAGATCACATCCCACCCACTTCATCACAGATACCTAAGATCACATCCCACCCACTTCATCACAGATACCTTTGAATGTAAGCCATATTTTGGAATTGTCACGAGTGGAAAGTCGTTAATAATAATTTTTAAACATCGCGAGAAGAGCGGAGACTAAAAGTCAGATCTGTGTGCCGCTATCTTTCAGATCGTATTGATTAACTCCTACAGTGGAGCCGGAGACAAGGAGTTGAAGAAAAAAAAGACAGTCCGGCGTTTTCCGTATTGGGTGTCCAGGTCACTGCGGTCGGTTTGATGTGATGCCATAGGGAACGCTCAGCAAAATTGAGGTATGAAGCAAGGGAAAGGAGACATTTGAGCTGGAGACGTCAAGACGTTTATCTGTCGACGTCAGTGACGTTGATCTGTCGACGTCGGTGACGTTGATCTGTCGACGTCGGTGACGTTGATCTGTCTACGTCGGTGGCGTTGATCTTTCGACATCGGTGACATTGATCTGTCTACGTCGGTGACGTTGATCTTTCGACGTCGGTGACGTTGATCTTTTGACGTCGGTGACGTTTATCTGTCGACGTGGGCGCCTGGTTTCAGCTCACATGACGTGATCTGCAGCTTGCCCCAGGATGAGGTGGTGACAAGGAAATTAAATAAATCGATCTTTTGAACTAAAGTTGGTTCTGTGCATTTTAGAGATTTGAGAATTTTTAAATCATTTTTTTGTTTATAGGTGAATTAAAAAGTAAAATATTTTTACTAAGATGATATACCATAATAAGAGAATCCCATAAACGTGTTAGGCCTGGGTCTCCTTTGTGCACTAACACAGTTGTGCGAAATGGGGGAAAGGGGGGGGGGGGCTAAGGTGGCGTATGTCCCCGGCCACAAAAATCTGATTGTTTGTGCTAAATATATTATGAATTCACATTTCTCTCCGTTTTTTCTTCGGTTTAAAAAGTAAAATATTTTTACTAAGATGATATACCATAATAAGAGAATCCCATAAACGTGTTAGGCCTGGGTCTCCTTTGTGCACTAACACAGTTGTGCGAAATGGGGGAAAGGGGGGGGGGGCTAAGGTGGCGTATGTCCCCGTCCACAAAAATCTTATTGTTTGTGCTAAATATATTATGAATTCACATTTCTCTCCGTTTTTTCTTCGGTTTGGGGGGGGGGGTGTAGGGGTATTCTGGCTTTGCCACATGCGCAGCTATTGCTTGGTTAGGCCCAAGTCGTTTGCGAACTCAATAATTAAGATATGCATTGTTTATCTGGAGTTTTCAAGTAAGGGAGATTTCTCTGTACAGCAGTGAGAGACCGTAACATTTTCTCTGATTATTTAGTAGCAGGAGACCCATGTTATCTTACTCTGATCAAATCAATAATTATGTTACAGAAATTATTTCTTAGCATTAAATTTGAGTATGTATTTGCTTCAAGTGCTCTTATGTTACTTTAATTATTTATTTGTTAACTAACAAGTTTATCTGCTGTGTATGAATAAATTCTTACGTTGAAATTGCATTCAAATGTGTTGTTCATGAACCCATCGATAATGTGTTGTTCATGAACCCATTAATAAATGTGTTGTTCATGTACCTATCTCATGAACCCATTAATCAAAGTGTTGTTCATGAACCCATGGATAATTTGTTGTTCATGAACCCATTGGTAAAAGCGTTGTTCATCAACCCATCGATAATGTGTTGTTCATGAACCCATTGATAAAAGTGTTGTTCATGAACCCATTGATAAAAGTGTTGTTCATGAACCCATTGATAAAAGTGTTGCTCATGAACCCATCGATAATGTGTTGTTCATGAACCCATTGATAAAAGTGTTGTTCATGAACCCATTGATAAAAGTGTTGTTCATGAACACATTGATAAAAGTGTTGTTCATGAACCCATTGATAAAAGCGATGCTCATGAACCCATCGATAATGTGTTGTTCATCAACCCATCGATAATGTGTTGTTCATGAACCCATTGATAAAAGTGTTGTTCATGACCCCATTGATAAAAGTGTTGTTCATGAACCCATTGATAGAAGCGTTGCTCATGAACCCATCGATAATGTGTTGTTCATCAACCCATGGATAATGTGTTGTTCATGAACCCATTGATAAAAGTGTTGTTCATGAACCCATTGATAAAAGTGTTGTTCATGAACCCATTGATAAAAGTGTAAATTAAAACATGAAAGGAGCTGAATGTCATCAATGAAAATGAAACTGTTTCCAATTTTCTGTGGTCACCTTTTTAATTGTTATACTTTTATGTCCAATGGTTTATTTTCAAATCCAATTTAATGTTAATTTTTAAAAAATTAATTTAATGTTTAAATGATAATGAAATAATGATCAAGTGATGTAGTATTTTCTAATTAATGATGAACTTTTGCATATCAATGTATCAAGTGTATCAATAAAGTACTTTCATATTTTCTGACATGCTTTAGTTCAAACTTGACAAAAGAACAATAAAATAAAACGGTGCTGATTATCACAGACATTTATTGGTTGTAGAGGATAACCTTTTCGTGAGACTTTAATGATGCAACTTAACATCCTGTTAAATTTTAGGCAGCCATTGACAAATTTAACTTAGGCTTTTCAATATTCGTAAAAACAAAATCAAAACATGGTTCTTTTTAAAGTGATGTTGTATCTGGATGTTGACATGGTGGAGAACCACACACACAAAAAAAACCACTTAATCCAATAGATTTCAAAATATACAAAATAATCAATTTTAATAGTTATTTAATGATAATAAAAAGTAATGTACTGCAAATTGTGAAATAAAAAAAATCATGAAACAAAAAATTACAAACACCAACATGTTTTATTTTTTTTTTTTTCAAATCATGAATGAGTCAAAAACTCATCTGAAGACAATGGTCTGAAATAACTTTGGCAGGAACAGAATAATGTTTTCATGAAATGTACAGTATTTCATGATTGGACGGATGAATAACACATGTGTTTGATATTCTGTCACATTGAAACCACAGCATTATTTCTATTGCTATGTGACTGCTATAAAAAAAAAATATTTAAATAATCTTCACATAAAGCAATACATGCAAAAGACCAAAATAAATTGGCAAATTTCCAAAAATATGTTGTCTAAATATTAAAGTGGTGAAGGAAACATTTACTTTTTTTTTCAAATTCTAAAATAATCCATATGCAAGAATGTAGGCTTGATTCAGATATTATATAATAATAGATAATATGTGACCTTTCGGTTCACTTTTAGAGGAAGAATTAAATACAATATAACCTAAAATTCTTTATTATTCAAGCTTAATTTTCTCCCCCCCCCCTCCCCCTTGGCAATGTCGGTTTCTACTGTGGGTCAAGATCAAGACCCAGATATTGTCTTCTGTCAACTGCAGAAAACTCCACGCCCTGGTTGTAATAGTACCATAACTTAACTCCCCCCATGATTATTGCTAAATGATATCTCAACAAAACATTCTTGCTTTGAAATTTCATCTCCCCCAAGAGTAATAAATGTAAAGCTAACAAGGGATGAACTCACTGGAGTCTAGGCCTGGAACCATTTGGCTCTTAAGCTAGCATCTAACCCATGGCCCCCCCACTTGCCTGAAAACTGAGAAATTTATTCATGAAACATTATCTCATCTGTCATCAATTCTGATGTACGCATTTAATGGAGGAGCCATTACATTGCAAAGATACATCTCCAAGTCTGGGGAAAATTTTTAATGAAAGCCATAAGGTCACAAGCCTGAGATTTCCAATATAAAACTCTTACTCTGGTGCTGAGCTCAAACCTTCAGCCTGATTGAGCTATGTCCAAAGATGTTAAAGCAGTTTAAAGATAGTTTTTGAAAATCTTAACATTTTTATTTAGCCTCTCTCTGTTGTTTTTTGTTGTTGTTAGCAATAAAATATAATCTTTAATTGGTGACATTGATTTGTAAATAAACTTTGACACCATCTCATGGTGACAACTCTCATCCTTCATGAAACTTAACCTAAAATTATATTGGATAGAAATAGGTGTGAGTTCCCTATTTTATTTTATTTAATTAATTTAATTATTTTTATGTATCTGGTAGGTAGTTTAAAAAAATACAAAAAAAACAAAGACTAGCTTGAAATTTAAAAAATGTGTTACTTTTAAAAAGGTCTTCTAATAAGGATGAGTCTAATGCACAGTTAGGTTGACATATACGTGCACAATGCATGTTGACATGGACTTGTAGACATGCATTTTGACATAGATGTATAGACATATATGTACGGGATCAACAGCCATATGTTTTCTATTAGCCTTATTGTCACATTAACTACAGGTTGGCTTGTCTCAAAGAACGCTGTCTCGTATTTTGTAAACTTACACAGGCATGTATGCATGGGGATGAAACAAAATGATAAAAGTCAAAAGGACAAAGCCATAATGATCTCCACCTCTCTATCCCTTGAAAACACACCAATCTTACGTTCTACGGGGAAATCATTTTGATTACAGGACGAGTCTGTCATCTTCCAGTAAGGTGGGTGCCGACTCGCCGTAACCTCCCATCATCATGTTGGCTCCAGAGGTGGCTCCAATGTGGGTCAGCTGTGAATGATATTATATGTGATGATCAATTTGATTCTGATACTTGCACTACATTGATGAGGAAATCAAAATCTACCCCCAACGTAAAAACAAAATTTGATAGTTACTGCTGAACTAATGAGGAATATTCATAATAAGATATGTGGGCCCTTGAAAAACAAAAACTAGACAATAGCGTGGAGGTTTCGGCAGAATGCCTTCCTCAAGGCATGAAAAAAAAAAAGACGAATGAAATTGGTAAAAGACTTAGTTTTAACGAGATTCCAGACAGGAAATAACTATTAATAACTTGGTTTGAACGTGTTACTTCATACTATCGAAAAGTATAAACAATTTAAGAATTATGGTGAAGAGTTTAAAAGGAAGTGATAATTTTTAAAAACTTAAATACATTGATGGCAGGAAATTAAAAACTCAATTTTTTATAATGTCCTTGCTTGGTACACTATGGCAATATCCTACAAATGGTTGTCAAGTATGGGAATTTAATAGTTTGGTCATATTTTTAAAAACTTTTTTGGGGGCAAATTCAAAAAGAGTGAGTTTGAGAGTGAGTTGTAGCCAATGGTTAATGGGGTGAGTTGTTACCCCTAGTAATAGCGTGAGCTATTGCCCCTAGTTATGGAGAGAGCTTTTGTTCCTAGTTATGCACTGGGTTGTTGCCCCTAGTTATGATATCGGTTTTTTGTCCCCATTGGTGGAGTGAGTTTTTGCCCTTAGTTATGGATAGGGTTGTTTTCTTTAGAAGTAGAGTCGGTTGTAAGATTTATTTAAAATTTTGTCGTAGACAGTAAATAGACAATGAGGTATGTCAACCCGGGATGAAGTTGGCCAGTGTTGAAAAGGTATTCAGGAGTTGGGTGGACAAAATGTTCAGGAGTTGGATGGACAAAGTTGAAGCATTTTCAAAAATTCCAAATGTTATTTCCAAGTCTATTTTATATATATATATATATATGTTTATGTATATGTATATATTTATGCATGTATAAAAAGAGAGCGTTACTTTTTATTTATTTTAGTTGGAAAGTACACAGCCAAATATGGTGTTACGTAACATTATATGGTTATGAAAATTTCATCTGTTTTAACATTAGGCTTGTTTTATTTAACAATATGTCACATAGAACTGAAAACAAGTATACACAGAAAAATGATATGAAAGCTAGTGATGTTAACAATATTTAATTTAATTTTACTATTAAATGTAGATAAGGAATAAAAAATCAAATAGAAATAAAGATCACAATCTTGTAAGTATATTACTTCTAGTAAAAAATCTAGGAATGTTAGCAAAAAATCTCTCCCGACTGGAAAAGCTGACTGCCAATTATAGGGAGTGAGCTAGAACTCTCCCGAAAAGAATTCTATTAATTGCAGAGGAAAACAGCTCAAAGGCAGGCTTAGGCTTAGATGGATAGATCATCTAGATACGGCAGCTGGGAATCCAAGCACGGAAAAGAAAAGCAGCATCAGTTAGGTCTGAGTGGAAGGAAGTGAGTGAGACAGGCCAAAGACCTACATGGGCTGCAGCGCCACAGGAATGGATGTGTGCAATAAATCTGCGGTGTAAAAAGGGGGTGGGACATTAGAATATTAATATAGTTCAGGGGCAGCAGTGGCGTAAAAGGTGTGTGGGTGGGTTGGCACCAATTGGGAATCTTATAAAGTGCTTTACCTGAATGCATGTTCTGTCAAGTCACTTTAGCAGATGGGGAGCTCACGCGTTGCCGCGGCCATTGTTTGGCGCGCCCATTGTTTGGCGGGCCGAGGCTAGTTATAATATATTTGTGTTAAAACTACGGAGCTTAAAAAAAACAATTTAAACATCCGTGGCTAAACTATGTCCCAGTCAAGTATATAACAACATACATCATATGATGCTAAAGCTTAGGTGTAGCGTTAGTTTATTGTATGCCGTTCTCATCGGTGCTTACTTGCTGACTGACCTCGATTATTGACGTTTATTTAATGTAGGCCAAAAAGATAACCCAAGCCTAGTGAACGTCAGTGTAGGAGAATTGCAATTATTTCCTTAAGCATCAGGGAAGTTGTTTTATTTTTTTACGTTCGTTCTTTACAACGCTTCTAGTACATGACGTATGCAAATAAAAGAAAGAAGAAAACAACCACCCCCACCACAGACCCCTCCCAAACACAGTGTGAGTCGTCTGGCCTTGCCTTCAAACCTTGTTACTACTGGCCAGACACCACCACCACCACGCCCTACGGACGACCAGTTGCGGTACCATCAGGGGCGTAGCTGGCGGCGCGTGGAACGGGGCTGATCCCAGAGGCTGCTCCCCATGCAGGCGACTGAGTACTTTTTTTTTTTAATTGGCCCGAATCCGATGACTGCTCAAAGGATGGCTAAGGTTTGAGCCCACCCCCGGTCACTGGGTCGCACCGTGGGCCTGTGATTGTTAGCGGGACTTCGTAGCTGGATGGTAGAAGCAAGCGTGATTCTTATCCGGGAGCACAAGACTTTTCGTCAGAGTCCACAAGCATGACGTCAGCTTGCGCCCGCTACAAAAAACCACGGGCAGGAGAGGTCCCTGAAGTCGATGGCAGGAGAGGTCCCTGAAGTCGATGGCAGGAGAGGTCACTGAAGTCGGGAGCAGGAGAGGTCACTGAAGTCGGGGGCAGGAGAGGTCACTGAAGTCGGGGGCAGGAGAGGTCACTGAAGTCGGGGGCAGGAGAGGTCACTGAAGTCGGAGTCAGGACGCGAGCACTTTTAGACCAGGTTTACGGGGGGGTGGGGGGGGTAAATCCAACCCGGTTTAGCGAGGGTACACGTCGTGCAAAGAGCGTGTAGATAATGCACATCTACGAGAGTATAGAGGTTACGAAATTTACGTGTATAGTCTATTTGGGAGTATATAGCGTGTACAGTGAATGGACCGTGCACAGGGTGTGCACTCGCTCTCTTCCGTCATTGAAGGATTCATATGGTTGGAAGGGATCTCGTCTCTCGTTTCACCTCACGACTAGATGAATAATCTACAACATCTTCTCTGGCAAAGAAAGGCGATGACCCACATGCAGACGTATCAACTCGCATCTCGTCCGAATGTTATCTGTCAAATGTTGGACAAATTACACTTTTATCCAAGTGCAATCAACCAATTAGTTGAGGGGGTCTCAAATTTCTATAAACAACGCCTCTGATCTTTGTCGGGTGTCTGTCTTTTCGGGAAAGACGTTGGGGTCAAAAGCAAGACTAGAAATAGAGAATTACCTCCCCCCTTCCCCACCCCCCGGGTACCCCCCAATATCATCTATAAAAATACGATTCATGCAGATTGGCTCTCCAGGCCCTAAAGATGACCTATTTTATAGCACGGTTTAAAGAACCACGCGGACAGACCAGCAAGTCTCATAACTGGCTGTTAGTACGGACATGGTGATAAAGACATTCCTTTGTATATCAATCATTCTTTTCTTTTTTTTTCTTTGTTTTTTTTTTTTTTATCCACCCATTCAAGTACTAGCGCAAGAGGTGAATTTGTACTTGGATTGTTAACGCAATGAATTCAGTTCGATCGAAAATTTGAATTGTTCGAGAGACATTGCATATTTTCTATCTGGAACGTTGGTCATTTTGGGGTGAATCGTGTTCCGCTGAAGCATGGCTGCTTTACGGTACGGTCAAATTACGCTGGTATCAGTACGCTGTTAGCATCTACGGAAAGTTTTGTGACGATTCTTTCATGGGTCTAGTTTTTCAGTTGTTGTTTTGTTTTTTACTGTAACGTATGTGTAAGATTTCGGTAAAGAAAATTTACGTCGGTTAATTTAGTGCATGACCATTGAAAGGATGTTTCGGCTAGATTCCCTCTCCAGCAGAGACTGCCATCATTAAACAGCAGATAAAACGTGTGGTTTTGAAGATCTCAGTTTCTTGTTAAACTATTTATTTACTTCACACGGCTTGAACGCAGTCCCCTAAATATTATATATTACTAGAATATATGACCCGGTGTTACCTGGATAATAATGAATAGTGCAGATTGCACTACTTTCCACCTGTTCTTAAAAAGTCCCAACATTTAAAATCCAATTTTTACAAATGTACTGAGTTCTAATGTATGGTATCTTTTCAGAAATTTTTAAAACTTTTAAAAATAATTTTTACGACAAATCTCAGTGCCCTGGCATTGCATATTTAGGAAATGGGTAATTAGGCATCTATGCATAAGTACCGGTATCTTCATTTCCCACATGATGAATAGGGTTTTGAGAATTGTTTTCTTGTTAATACTATAGGCCAGGCCTCTGAGCCCTGAACATCAAAGAAAACAAATTTCCTAAAAATTGTATTTTTTTTTTAAAAACGTGTCCTGAACTTTAAAAAATATATGTACGATTTCAAATACCCGTAGCAATAACGGTCTTGATATATTGGTGTAGTCTTTAAAAATGTGTCCAGTCTCTGCTTCGCTCCTGAACTATATTATCGGAAAATCGTTAAAACGGACTTCTTATAGTTCAAGACAAATCTCTTATTCAGTGTTCAAATCTTTTAGAATTATTCTTTATCTCATAGAAATTTCCCCATGCCCCTGAACTGCGTGTTGTACAAAAAGGAAAAGAAACACATACTTTCTTATTTTTAAAGAAAATCGTAACCCTTTCTTTGTTCATGACGGACCCCCCCCCCCCAGCTGTATATTTCGGTAGCCAAAATTCGTTTTCGTTTTTTTATAATATTAAATTTCCAGGTCTGTAAAATATTTGGGTTTCCAGATACTGTTTTCACACCGTAGTTCTTTCCCATTTTTAATGTTTTATCATGAAATATGCACAGTACATATTTATTTTTAATGTATATAAAGTTATTTGATTTACGTACAAAAATAGAAAACGCCTAATATTGATTTTAAGCACCCGAGCATATTAAAATTGATTTGTTTTTTAGCATTATATGGATACCTTAGCTAATTCTTATATATATAATTTATTGCACACTAGGAGATACACCAGGTGATGCCCAGGAGAAAAAATGACATACTCGTACTGTAGTAAGACATAAAGGAATCATGGTTACAAATTTTTAATAAAAACAATATAAGGAACAATGTTTCAAAAGCCAAAAAAGAAATGTGACTTTTTAAACGAAAACAATCCAAAAGTGTCACAAATGTAACAATTATGATAGTTAACACTTTGAAATAAAAATAGTCAAAATAATTTAAATTACAACAACATTTAGCCAATTGATAGCTTAATTTAAGAATAATTTTTATTTAACATTTGTTATCAATCTGTGAAAAGGCTGAATTTGTATTAATTTGTTTTTCTTTATCGAACCACAAAGCCACAAACACACAAACAACTATACATTAGATTTTTATATATATTATAGTCAGTTTCATTTCACCCTAATTTTTTTGTGTGTGGTTTTTTGTTTTTTTTTGAGTACCGATATGTCACTGCATGATTAGTTACTATCAAATGTGTTTAATTATTTGTTCTAAAATCCATTAAAAATTTTTATTTGACAGAAATGTAAACCTTGTTGTACGATGATGCACAAAGAACACAAAATATTAATAAAACCGAAAAATCCAAGAGACTAGCAGGAGCAAACACAATAAACGATCGTTTTAGCCGAGACCAATCCCGCGATACCATGGCCGATGAGATCGGTGAGTCTCAAGAGGCCGCGGGTCAACTTAAAATGGAGCATGAAGGATATGCAAAGGTTGCCACAAATGGAGTCCACACATACGGAAGCATCAACCCAGGGAGGCGGGGCTCAGATGTGGATGATACGTCATACAAGAGAGAAGATATGCTACACAGGGTTGACGACCCTTTAGGTAAATGTTAGCCATTTCATTACACTGAATGTGATGGTTGAATCTTTTTTTTCATATTTTTTTTTTAACACAGGATTGCTCTCATCCTTGAAAATAGCTGCCTTACTGGGCTGACGAGTCCAGTCCACCCAAGCAGTTTCGCATGCTATGGGATGGTACCAGCCCCAATCCAACCCACTCCTTTTTTTTTTTTTTGGTTATGATGCAGACAAAACTACACAGGTGTCACAAGACATCCCCCTCCCCCCCCCCCCCCCCCCCCATTTTTTTTTTTTTTGTTATGATACAGACAAAAATACACAGGTGTCACAAGACATCCCCCCCCCCCCCCCCCCGCCACTTTTCTCCTCTCTAAAAAAATTAATGAAAATTATAGATACATTTTTTTTTAACGGCAGCAATGCATTTCCAGAATTTGTGGAAAACCAAAAGTAAAAAAAAATTTTAGTGCAAAATTTTGCAAGCATCGTTGATTTTATTGTCCCAAACATAATCCGTAATCATTGTTACTTTGTATCAACACGACAATGCCATCTCCAAGAACAATGCCATCTCCAAGTGCCGATTTTGCTTTTCCTTTTCTTAGAGTGATTGTAAAATTTCTTCATCTCCCGTGACACAAGTGTGCAAATAACACATATCTTCTTTTATGAACAGCAGGCCCGGCAGTGCCTACCCAGGTACCAGAGGTCCTGCTCCCACCAGTGAGGACCCTCCTGGTTCTGTCTTTGTCCTACCTGCTCATCTACACCTCCTACAACGGCATCCAGAACATCCAGAGCAGCATCAATGACAAGGGTGGACTCGGGGTCATCACACTGGCCTCAGTCTACATCATGATGGTCTTATTTTGTAAGTACAAAACCGCACTGTCCCCAGACTACGACTCTACATCCTCTACATCATGATGGTCTTATTTTGTAAGTACAACACCGCACTGTCCCCAGACTACAACTCTACATCCTCTACATCATGATGGTCTTATTTTGTATGTACAACACCGCACTGTCCCCAGACTACAACTCTACATACTCTACATCTTAGTGTTCTTATTTTGTAAGTATAACAGTTGGCAGGAAGTACTGACCTAGAATTTATTTTTATAAGATCTCTGTCATGGAAAAAAACAACAACATAGGTCTTTCCTTTGCAAATAAAGAAGGATAAATGAAGGATTGTGTTCAAGCTGTGTGAAGGAAATAGCTGAACAAATGCCATTTCTTGACATTTTTTCATTTGTACTGTCTGCTGAGAAGGCTCACAGCAGAAACATTCTCATCTTATTGTCCTGTCTTTCGATTCAAGCTTCCACATACCTTGGTCCACTATCTCTTTCCTCCGCAACATCATTTAGAATGTTCACAACAACATATAACAATTTTTACCCCACCAAATCAAAGTTTCTATTAATTTTATAGCCCCGCTGGCCACCAGCATCATTAGACAAGTAGGCTCCAAGACAATCCTTTTAATCCAATGGGTCTGCATAGGGCTGTTCATCGGGGCCAACTTCTACCCCAACTTCTACACCTTGATTCCCACGTCGCTGCTGGTCGGCGCTTGCTCCGCCTGCACGGGCGCCATAGGAAGCCTCTACCTTGTCACCATCAGTGACAGCTATATTGTCAAGAACAAACTCACCCCAGACAGACGACACGTCATACTCAGCATAATTTTCGGAGTGTTCTTCACTTTCTTCGAGTCCACCCAGATCACAGGGAATCTCTTCTCATCCCTGGTGCTGTTCATATTTTCCTCACAGCCCACTGCCAACGCCACAGCAAGCGACAAAGTCTGTGGGGCCCAACTGTGCTCAGGAACTTCCACAAACGGCTCCTCCTCTGAGATATCACATCCTAGCCAAGATACCTTGTACCTGTTGTTCGGCATTTTCCTCGGATGTGTGTTGCTGGGGTTCCTGCTGACTTTGACCCTGCTGCCCCAGTTGAAGCTGCCTCAAGAAAAGTCGTCTTTGTGCCATGAGATCGGCAGCTGTTTCAGGACACTGGCTCAAGTCAGGTGTGCACTGCTGGCTCCTGTCATCATGGCCCAGGGCATGATGGTCATGATCATGTACACAGGTAGGTACGGTCAGGATGGTGGTAATCAGTGGTTGTCATAATCAGGATGGGTGTAATCAGGAGGGTTGTAATCAGGATGGTTATGAGAATGTTTTTAACATATGTGGTTATAATCAGGGCCGTTATAATAAGGGTGGTTCTAAAAACAGTAGTTGTAATCAGGCTGGTTATAATCACAGTAGTTGGGATTAGGGTAGTTATAATAACAGTGGTTGTAATCAAGATGAATGAGACGTCTGGCTATAACTGCACGTGTGTGAGTCCTAGTTTTGAGCTGCGTCTGCCTCTGGTCAATAACATGATGCAGGAGTTGCTTTCTATGGTCAATATAAATATTCTGACAAATAATATGACAAATAATATACCAAAAATCAATTTTTCTGAATATTTCTTCAACATTGTCCAGAATGTGAGCAATGTCTTAAACAAGAAACTAATTAAACCTCTGGCCTCCAATATTTTCATCTTTGGATCTGCATCTCAGGCATTTCTTTCCTTGCATGAATGCCATTATATTAATTCAGGGTAAGCATTTAATAAAATTGGCAATAATATATCAGGACTTTAAAATAAACATATTTTAAAAAATTTCTTCCAGGTTTCACCCAAGCCTTTGTCAGCTGCAGCATGGGTGTGGAGTGGGTTGGGTTTGTCATGATGGCGTACGGTGCATCCACCGCCATGTTTGCCACAGTGGCCAACTACCTAGCCCGTTACCTGGGCAGAGTGGTGCTCATGATCACATTCATCGTGGTGGACTCCGGCCTACTTGTGACGATGCTGCTGTGGACCCCGGGCCACGGTCAAGTGTCGACCATTATAATCTTCTCCATGGCTGTTGCCGAAGGGGTGTCCGAGGGCATATCCCAGCCACAGTTCAACTCAATCGTCTCCATTGTGTTCAGAGAGAATCTCCCACCAGCTTTTGTTGTGTACTACATGATCAAATGCCTGTCGTTTTCCATATCTCTGGCCGTGTCCTCGTTTGCTTGCCTATACCACAGACTGTATCTGGCCTTAGGTTTGTATGCTCTAGGACTCGTAGGGTACGTGATAACAGAGGTTATGGCCAACAGAAGACCCAGTGAGGAAGAAAAATCTCTCGTGATAACTGCTGACCCTCCATCTGCTCCACCCGTTGATGTAGAAACATGACAACACAACACAAGCATGTCGTCACCTCAGAACAGGCTCGTCTCATGGGGAATATCCAGATGGTTAAACTAACAAACAAACGGGTTGAAAATACAGTATGTGCAAAAACTAGAAGCACTGAAACTCCCGCATCTTGAATATGTATGTGGGTTTTTCAACAGTTCATAGCTCCAGCTGCCACATGTTCGCAGTAGTGGAAGGGAAAATGTGTTGGGTAGTTGTTGCTGGAAATGAGTCTTTCCACGGAGGAATGAGTATTCATTGTTGATCACTATTTTTGATTGTACGTCATAAGTTGTGAAGGGTGGGTTGTTTAGGAGAATGAGAATCCTGATCGTAGTCTCCAACAGGTGCTGCTTGCACCTTACAAAGTCTATCATGAAAAAACCTTAAAACTTAACATCAGCAATTCTGTGATGAGCATTTTTGGCATGATGTGCAAGTGAGGCTGATGTATTGTGGAGCATTTTTTGCCATGTTATATAGGGCATCCAGATTAGCATAAGAATGTGTGGATGCAAATCTCTTACCATTAGACGGCACAACCGGGCTACTTTAGTGACTTCCTTTTTGAGTCTCTGCCAGAATTCTTCTGCAACCCTTTTTCAAACTTGGCTCCCTTTTAAGGACCACTTATGTTTGAAAGAAAATAGTAGTCACCCATGAATACTATTTCCTCCGTGGAGTGATCAAGTTTCTACAACAACTACCCAACACATCGTTCCTTCCTTTTCCCTGGGAACATGTGGTAGCTGGAACAAAGCATGAACGCGATCAAGGTCCGGTAGTTTCAATACCGTCCCTTTTGGTGCATACTGCATATATATATATATGTATATATATATACATTAAATAAGTCTGTGATAAAATGAAGACTGGCCAAACAGCCAACCGTTTAATATATTAAATATCCTAACATTTTTTAAAAGTCATACCATTTTTTTGTTGTTGTTTTTTTAAATTATTAATTTTTTATATGTTAAATGCTTAGAAATACGGCTTGTTTCTAAATCCTACATCTAACTATTAAAGAAAATTATAGTTGACTGGTCGTGTGGGTTTATGTTCACACAAAGACTGATCCCATGTATGAAATAATATTTTAGGGAGAAAATGGTGGAACAAGTTAAATGACGGCTTGAAAGGGAAAAAAAACAACAACAGGACAATCCAATGAACTTTTTTGGCTGGACAAAACAACAAGCAAACTATAGAGAATGAGAAAATCTGAACAGTAGTGGTAACAATGTAACAGATCACATATTATGTGACATCTTCAGTGAAACAATGGGACAGATCACACTGCGATTAATACAAATGAAGCCCTCTTTGCTAAAGTCCCCGTGGGTGAAGTTAATTTTAATAACTGTATTACCCTCTGGGAGGAAATCTGGATTTGGTTTCAGAGTTGACTTGGAGGAGATTATTTAAAGTAACTAATTTTTTTTTTTTACACATTTTGAGATCCATTCGCCAGAAAATGATAAAACATAAATTTTTTGAAATACTCAAAACTGAAGAAATTGAGCACTAGCTGCCTACATTAAAAATGTCAAAAATATAATAACTCTTCAGGTTAAATCTGATCCAAACCATGATATGACATGACCCAAGATGGACACACCTATCCACACCATGACATCATATGATCCAACAGGGACACACCCATCCAAACCATAACATCACATGATCCAACAGGGACACACCCATCCAAACCATGATATCACATGATCCAACAGGGACACACCCATCCAAACCATGACATCACATGATCCAACAGGGACACACCCATCCAAACCATAACATCACATGATCCAACAGGGACACACCCATCCAAAACATGAAATGACATGATCCAACAGGGACACAAGCATCCAAACCATAACATCACATGATCCAACAGGGACACACCCATCCAAACCATAACATCACATGATCCAACAGGGACACACCCATCCAAACCATAACATCACATGATCCAACAGGGACACACCCATCCAAACCATGATATTAGTTGATCAAACATGGACACACCCATCCAAACCATGACATCACATGATCCAACAGGGACACACCCATCCAAACCATGATATCACATGATCCAACAGGGACACACCCATCCAACCCCCCCTCATTATGTCACATTCTAAAGCAGTGTAACTGTGGAGCTCCAGTTAATTCAATATTACACTATCTTACATGAACGAGACTCTTTATACTTTCATTTTTTACATCTCAAGCTTGAAACATAAACAGTATTAAGAAGTGGAACATTCTAAACTTTTACAGTACTTCATAAATATTTATTTAAGCCCCATTAATATTAAAATTTCTAGTATCTCTTTCAGTAGCCTATGAAACATAACTGTTTCAGCCGCTCAAGGCGGAAAAAGTTTTGAGAACCATTGAAGCGACACCTACCTGGTCCAGGCATTGTTTCTTGCATTCCAGCAGCCTCTCTAGATCCTTCCACATCTTCATTTGCTTCATGTTCGGTTCATGGTTGTCTTTCACCATCTTTTGACGTTCACGTAAACCTCTGCTCATATTTTCTTGTTCTTGAATTTTCTTGGAGTAGGTCTCCCTGTAAAATTATGGGTTAAATTTTTTAAATTGAAGAAATAACCTGGGGAAAAGTGGTTCTCAAAATTTTGTGTGTGTTAAATATTGAATTTAGATATTCACTAAACTCGCAGGTTTTTTGTGGATATTTATTAGTTTAACAACAGGGTAATAGTGAACCGTGCAAATGTTAGCTTTGAGTTATACTCATAGAAATTGACCTGAGAATGGGTATGGGTCACAACATTTCAGAAACATTGAGCTGAGCGCTCACTCTCAGGCACAGACAATTTGAAAAGTCAACCTAACCCTAACCCTGTGTTGTAATTATGAAAAAAAAAAAGAAGTTTCTGGTCATAAATTAAGGAAAACATTAGCTGAATATTCGCACACACAAAAACCATATTCCATGAGCAGTGCTTAAATTTCAGAAAATAAAACATCTGAAATTACATTTTTATATAATTTATATTATTTCAAGAAAAAATAAATCAAATAAATAATTAAGGTAAATGCTGGTATTTGTTAATATTTAAAACTCCTGGCAACGTATTCCATTCTTGTAGAGTGTAAGCCAGACTAGGAAATCTGGAATCTACAATAAAATATTGTTATACAATATACTTGGATAACCTAACATATGAGAGAGTTATAAGAAGCATACAAATTGACACCCGAGGAACAATAACAGCATACCATCTGAGGGAGACCCAAGACCCAGAACCAATAGGCACTATCTACAATAAACCCCTTCAGCATCTTGCAAAAACTGATGACATAGCACTGCTAAGTAAACTATTAAAAACATATCAAAATCCTTTCTTTAATTAGAAGACGCATCACTACAAACAGGGCTGGAAGTTAAAAAACAAAATTACATGACTATGATAAGAGAAGAACAGACTGATGAAGCCATTAAAATTAGAAACCAGACTTTTGAAAAATTAAATCAATTCAAATACTGGGTACCTAAGATCTTTATTAAATGAAAAAAACTAATTACTAACAGAAATAAAAGAAAGAATATCAGCTAGAAACAGGGCACACATCATTAATCAGAAAATACTCAAAAGTATTAACATTACAAGAGAAACAAAGAAAACTATTTATAAAACTGTAATCAGACCAGTTGAAACATATGGAAGTGAAATGTGGACCCTAAAAAAAATGGCAGAAAACATATCAAACACATGAGGGAGAAAAGTTCTTCAGGAAAATATATGGACCAACACAGGATGAATATGGATGCAGAATATGAACCAACCATGCATTGTACAGTCTATATCAAGGTTCCACAATAGTAGCAGAAATAAAAAAAAGGGGTAGGCTACGCTGGGCAGTACACTTAGAGAGAATGACAGAATGCCAAAACCCCAGAGGAAAACGGCTCAAAGGTAGAACTAGGCTTTCAGGGATGGATGATGTGGAAAAAGATCTACAACAACTGGGAATCCAAGCAAGGAAAAGAAAAGCATTAGTTGGGTCTGAGTGGAAGGAAGTGGTGAGGCAGGCCAAAGCCTTACATGGGCTGTAGGGCCACAGGGATGGATGGAATGTACTTGGAGAAAATGATAAAAATCTCTGATGACCTGCTCATAACCCAACCAAACACCCCCCCCCCCCACCTGGATTACCTGAATGTTTTCTTTTTATCTTGTGTGTCAGACGAGACATAGGATTTCATCTCTGCATTCACTCTGGCTTGTTGAACTTGGAACATGGGCTGTAGGGCCACAGGGATGGATGGAATGTACTTGGAGAAAATGATAAAAATCTCTGATGACCTGCTCATAACCCAACCAAACACCCCCCCCCCACCTGGATTACCTGAATGTTTTCTTTTTATCTTGTGTGTCAGACGAGACATAGGATTTCATCTCTGCATTCACTCTGGCTTGTTGAACTTGGAGAATCTAATTTTAGAAATGGGAAATCAGACTTGAACATGGCACAATTAAAAGTAACGAAATAATCTTCTCCACTCCCCATCACCACACACATTCTCACCACATATCTAACCCACACTGCCCCATACCTACACCACATTGATACCATATTGTTATAAGGTCCACACATTCTTCCGATATTCAAAACAAAGTCACCAACAAGCACCAGGTCCTACCTTCATAATACAGTTAAGATAATGATACCATGTCTTACCTTTATCATACAGTTAAGGTAATGCTACCATGTCCTACCTTCATCATACAGTTAAGATAATGATACCATGTCCTACCTTCATTATACAGTTAAGGTAATGATACCATGTCCTACCTTCATCATACAGTTAAGATAATGATACCATGTCCTACCTTCATTATACAGTTAAGGTAATGATACCATGTCCTACCTTCATCATACAGTTAAGGTAATGATACCAGGTCCTACCTTCATCATACAGTTAAGATAATGATATCTAGACTCCTCAGCTCTGCACTCCTCCTTGTAACCTCTGACCTCTTGATCTAGTTTGCTCATGTTGCTGTCAAAACCTGCCTGCTGTCTCTCGTACAACTGTTTCTTGCTGTCGTAATCAGGACCCAGCTCCTGGATATAAACAAAAATTAAATATAAGAGAAATTGAGTAGAAACTGGATATAAGCTAAAACTGAAATATTAGGGGATTTGAGTAGAGCCAGGAGCTTAACCGTGGATAAAAAGTTTACTTTTGTAAAATAAACCATTTACAATAAATTGTTAACTATTGTGTCTTCAAATCTACTATTCAGACTAGGGGGAATTAATATCATTTCAACAGAGGTGTTTTGTGATCATTTATCTTCAAAATGTCACTAACTCATGAATAATAATTTTTTTTAATTTTATAAAAGGACTGGGACTATATAGACCAGTGGTTCTTAACCTGGGTTCGGTGAGTCAGTCTCAGGGGTTCGGGGAGGTCCAAAAAAAAAACAAAAAAAAAAAAACAGAAAAAAATCATATTTTATTTTTCCTATTAAGAAGGGTTCGGTGAATGCGCAAATGAAAATGGTGGGGTTCAGTACCTCCAAAAAGGTTAAGAACCACTAATATAGACAAAAAAGGGCACTCTTAATTTATGCCAGAACATATCTCAATCCAACCAAAATAAAACCATAATGTCTTTAATAGGCACAACTTCATTTAAAGTTAAACTTTAGGGATCACAATCGAATTTCAAATGAAAATTCCCTCAAAAGTAAAAACAAAAATGTAAACTTCATTTCTTCACATTAGACTTACTCGAACTTTTTCTCTGAGCGGTCGTATCTCCCGTAGGATTGGTGCCAGGGTATTCCTGCGGTCGGCTATCTCATTATGGAGGCGTTTGACCATATCAGACATGTCATCCAGGGTGCGACCTTTCATCTCATCCAGCTCGCTCTTCTTGCTGGACACCTTCTCCAGTTCCTCTTGTGTCTCTCTGTAACCTGCAACACCTTTCTTTCTCTCTACAACAGACTGGAGGGTACAGCACAAGACAGTAACATTCAGTGATTTCTTGAGTGGTTTTTATGGCACTGGGTCAATCATAATTTTATATCTATTCATAATTAAATTTATAGTACATAAATGTTGCGTGTCAAACCAATGTAAATTCACCACCTACCGTGCCAGAGATAGATAAAAACCATCTGGACCGCCTTCTTTGAACCCCTCTTATCATTTTCATAATCTAATGCTTTCTGTTACTGGATAACATTTACTCTCAGACGTAACGAAATAGCTGCACACACACATACCAGCTGCCTGTTGATGAGCTCATTACGTTGTTTTAGGATTTCATCTGTACGTGTCAGGACACCAGCTTCTGCCCTCAGCTCTGCCAGCTCAGCACGTTTCTTTTTGTACACTGTACTCTTGCTTCGCAGCTTGTTAACATATCGCTTGAACTGTGCACAAAATTAATTTTTTAAAATACATTTTTTTTTACTTATTTCAGAATCATACATTATATCTATAGACAAACCCCATTTCAAAAAGTAAACACTTCGAAAATTTAAGAATAAACAATTCAGTGACCTGTGCAAGTGAAAATAAATAAATAATTTAATTAATAAACTTCCAAGGATCTAAAAATAGTTATTTCATTAAACTTCTATTTTCCTCCATTATGGGGAAGTCCTCCAAACAACTTTTTCCCATTTTTTGTTTGGTAGAGTAAATAAGATAGTAAATATACACCAATTTTAATATTCCAACATAAGGAAAAAAATTAGTGAAGTTCTGCTGCAAATAATCAGAAGTTTTATTATGTTCTTGCATTCCTCTGGTCAGTTTAAACTTTGCCTCATAAGATTGATCGGTTTAAAATAAATATGTTTGTCTCATACAACTCGTCGCTTGCTTCAAACATAATGTGAATTGAATAATAACTTGGATTGAAATCTTATCTCAGTTGAAAAAGTGTAAACTTATTTGAGCAGGACTCTTTTCTTTTTACAATGGGGTCAACTTTGACAGATTGAAACAAAAGGTCTTGCTTAGACAGAATGATACCAATGGTCAACTTTGACACATCATTTAAAAGGGTCAACTTAGACAGATCATTACAAAAGGTCAGCTTTGAATAAGGGATACAATAATTCTTAAACTCACATCCTCCCCTTTGAGAACCTCTGCTCCCTCAGCAGTGTTGACCACCTCCCTTTTCTGGTCCAGCTCCCGTTGAACGTGGTTAAACTCATCCCTTATGGCTCTCAAGGTTTCTGCTGCTCCTTGCTTCTTGTGGGCTATGATACCAGCCTAGACAAATGACAAAGTACTTTGGAGATATAGTCAGATGTTTCATTTATTGCTGAATACAGTATTAAGGGAAAAGTAAATAATAAAAAACACAACCAAGTTAGAAATATATTCTTTTAGAACTAAAATTATGGTCCATGTCCTTTTACACAAAGTTGTAGAAATACATAATGGACCTAGCAATTTTAATGTTGGATCTCCTTTAATGGCTTTTTGGATTACAAAATTCGCCTGCCTAGTGACTCTGGCATTCAATCTGATTACCACTGTCAGTTGTATTTTATGCACAAGTAATGTTTTTGACTGGTACTTTTTTAAAAAAAGCTTGGTTTAATCTATTGAATTTGTCTCTCTGATATTCTCACTGTGTGGGACTAATGACAACATTCTCACTATGTGGGACTAATGATAATATTCTCATGATGTGAGACTTATCAAACCATTCTCCCTTTGTGGGACTAATGATATAAATCTTACTAAGTGGGACTAATGATATCGTTTTCACCATGTGGGACTAATGATTCCATTTTTACTATAACTTAAATATTTATCAAGTTATGAATGGGGAATGGAAGAAGTCCCTCTCTGCACTAGTGTGGTGATGTAGCCAACAATTACCTGCTGCCTAAAGAGTGACAGCTTATCATCAGCTGGTTCACCACTTCTCATCCTCTTCTCAATCAGCTGGTTGACTTCAGCATTCAGCTCAGTAATCTTGACACATTTGATTGGGATGAAAAAGAAGGAAAAACGTCAATCGCAAACTGTCATGCAAATATTTCCAAACTAGAAACTTTTAACAAACTATTCACTCAGATTTATTAGAATTAGTTTATCATCCAGGGTTGTTTTTTTGGTTGTTGTTTTTGTTTTGTTGGTTTTTTTTTACACTCCCGTAATAAAATGACAAATGCTGTTGGAACATTGAAATGATATTTTTAAATCAATGCACCAACTTCAATGTTTTGTTTCTGTTAATTAAAGATTATCTCTACATTGTCTTCATTGTCAATACAAGTAGCTAAGTTTTGCCTTGATAACGAACAACTCTCTTGTCACGGTGGTTCCTTTTCAGTTGTTACGTGCCCATTCACATTTCAACCTTACTACTAAGTATGGCTTCGTCTGTCTAGGGGTGTTGGGCTAAATAAACCTTAGGGGCATAACCTCACGCGTAATAAGAAAATGGCGTTACGCTTTTTAAATCCAACTCCATGCGCATCTCCTAAAGAATTGACAACAAAGCCTGTGTCTTAAATGGGCATACAAACTCAAGGGTTCAAGAACAAACAAATTATTTACACACTAGAATTAAGAGTGAGGGAACAATGCCTAAAATGTCCAAAGCATTCCTGCATTCAGTGGATTATGTGGTTTCACAACAGCCTGCATAAAAAATAACCCTTCATAAGAGTTAGGAAGATGAGGAAAATAAAGTCACACTCATATAAATAATCAACAATGTTAAGCTCAAACAGGCGTCAATTCCTAAAACCTCATGACGTATGAATTCACCAAAATATTATCATTAACTCCTAAGCATAGAGGACATTAATCTGGTACTTAAGGTTGGTTACATTAACACAAACTGTTGGCTCAAGAATAACAACTACACACACACACCCAAAAAGGGTTAACATAGATGGGCAGCAGATACTTCATCTCTACAAAAGTGAAACATTTCCCAACCTTAGGTTATATACCGAAGTGTCGGTCGACTAGTGTTTACAGGGAAAGTGGCCCTGACTATGTCACGTGATTAGAGCATCATTAAAGTATGGGTGGAAACCAATTTGACAGTTTACCTTTCATCTTCCCATCAGGATCATAATGTTATCTTTCACAAGGATGTCACAACAAGGTTAGCCGAGAGAGAAAAATAATAATATCCAGAGGCATACAACAATCTCAAGGGGCATATTGCAATCACCAGGTCAAAGTGTAGGAGATCTTAAAAGAGTATTCAGGGGGTTGTTTAATTTTCTCGAACTGAAAACCACAAAATTGATAATGACCTTGACATTCAGCTCATCCAGGTCAGAGTGACCCATGGCTGGAACAGAAACAACTTTCTGAAGATTTTGGATCATTTTCTTCCTCTGGGCCACATCCTTGGGTAATTGTTCTTTAACGATGAAACCGTTCGTCCTCGTTTCCTCTTCCAGCTTCTGAATCATTGCTGAGGAAATAAATATTTATAAGAGAATTCAATTTAATTTTAACTCTTGACCAATGTATGAATTCATACAAAACAACCAAACTTTTCATAACAGCTGAAGCCGTGCTTAATCTCTTTGTCAAGTAAGAAAATTGATAATGCTCTTTCCACATTTTATAACTTTGGTCTCAAACAAACAAAAACAACAAAAAGCAACAGATATGCATGCCAGAAAGAGTTGAAAGAGTTGTGCAGGTTGCTATCTATCTGCTGCTTTAAGATCAATATTTCAGAACCCTCAAGCACTTACAGCTGGGTGTTGCACCGATACTTGCTTGCCTCATGTCACGGAGCTGGGCTTCAAGTCGCTTTATTCTCTGATCCAAGTGGGTGATCTAAATAAAAATTTTTAAAAGATGAAGGATCATATGTGCTAAACATAACTGCTTATTTCACTTAATTTTTTTTTGTATAGTCGTTCAACCTTCGCGTGCAAAGATAACCAAGGATATATTCTACGGAGAGTGCACGGTCCGATTTGTGCATGAAAGGGTTGCCAGCATATTGGGCACACATGTCTTGGGGTCCAAGATGGACTGGTGGCAGTTCTGCTTTTCCTTGCCATAAGCTTTCTTTCGGCTTGAGCAGTGCGTTTACAGTCTGAAGATTCTGCCTTTCCAGCTAGTACCATCCAAAGCAACTGACTCCCATGGTGGATGTCCATGGATGTTAGCAGTCCTTATAGTTCTGATAGTATTGGATGCTGTCCGTTTAAAAAACTAATTTACTGATGAAAAAACTTGTTTTAATCATTTTAAGTTAAACTGAATATAAATGTAGATAAATTATATTACACACTTTGACAAGAAAATAGCTTACAGCTTTCTAATCTTTCTAGAGTACAATATGTTAAGATTAGAAATGAAGATCAGATTTCTTTTTTTTTAATAACAAGACACAATTGATAGAAAAACTGATATTACTGACAGCAGTTAACTGCTCTTGTTTCTGAGCGGCGAGCCTCTTCTCCCTGTCTCGCTCCACCCTGAGATTCTTGGCAACCGTCATCATTTTTTGTGAATTGGGATGTGACTCAACCTGCGGCGACACAAAGACAAAATCATTCCATGAAATGAACTGCATCTTTGGGAGAAAAATTAAACTATTTTATTTATGAGGGGTGATTACTTCAGATAAACACAATTTACATCATATCTAAGTGGAAAAAATAGTATATAAAGAAATTACTATTTGACCTTTACTTTAAATTAATAAATTTAATTTCCTGTTTCAAAGTGTGTTGTGTTTTCTCTTGTTATTACTCATCAGCTGAGCAAAAGATTAAAATTCACTAATTATTAATTATTTACACAGAAAGTGCGAGAAGAAAATAGTTTTTTCATATCATACTCTGATACCTTTCTCCTCAGTCTCTCTATTCTCTTTATTAGCTGCTCTTTTTCCTCCTCCATGTTGGTTATATCCTTTCTTATCTCTGCAGTATTGAACCCAGAATTTTTCAGCTGCTCTGATTGTTTGTGCAACTCCTTAAACTGTTCCATGAGTTCCTCATACTAAAAATGAAATAAGATTCACAAAAATTAAAATTATCCTTAAATTAGACAAAAAATAACAAAGCATAAGTGAATAACTCATAGGGCATTGGATGTGTCAGAAAAAGTGACAATTATAATAGAATATATAAAAAACAAATAATTGAAAGATCTCTTACTCTTACTTTTTTTTCTAAATAATAATCAGTGAAATCAACCTCCCCCCCCCCCCCCCCACCCCCCCCTCACACACACACCCACAAACACAACACAAAACCTGCCTGCTCCCCCCCCCCTCCCCAAAAAAAAAAAATTATTTCTTTTATGCTGTCATTTTGGTTCTTTGATTGCTAGAATAAATATACCTGTACATATATACTGTTGACTTCCTCATCTTGCATGATTTCTGCTGGAACATCAATCTTCACTAGGAATTTTGCTAGGTAAGCTCTTTTCTGTAGTTCAGGTACTTTTTGTAGTAGCCATTCCAGAATGGGGAAAATGATTGGCTTTTCTCCTTGGACTATGCCAGCCCGAAATTGGCTCCTATGATTAAATTTCAACTTCAGACATGTTTCAAATATTAACAAGTACTGTCATATATACTTGGACTGTATAGTATTTGATTATTATATTGTTAAAAAAACTGTATAGCTAATATATGTAAAAAGGAAAATGAAAAGTTAATGTGAAGAAATTGATATGGAAACATTTACTAACTGTTCTAGTGTAAACTAACGATTGCTATTAATTATTATTTTTTTTTAGTACTGCTGACATTTTGTTGGTTATGCGGTGTCTTAATTATGATAGTTTTGGTAAGTAATTTTATGCATAGCAGAATCTCATTCACACTGGTATCTAAATATAGTTAAATACTGTTTGAAAATCTTTACAATTACATTGCACATATGATTAAAGCAGTTGTTTTTTATATTTGAATAAAATTTTAAATATATAAATACCTAGATATTCAAGTTCATATGAGTAATGATCAAAATAGAAGAAAAAAAAATTAAAAGGATGATGAACTCACATGCTAACATGATCTGGTGGTTTATATTTCAGAACTCTTAAAATCTGAAAAATCCGTACAGCTGTCTGATCTGGTGCTTCTTCACGAATATCCAGCTTTTGCTAAATATTGTAATAGATTAACATGTTATGATACAAAATAATAAAATTTGTCCTAAGAATAAGACAAAAATTATTATAAATGATGAAAATGAACACATATTTTATTGTATGTTATATTAATTTTAAGCATAGTTTTTGTTCTTTGTACCAGATCTTTATTTTACAAATATTTAGCTACTCAGTAGATCAGGGGTGTACATCATACGGCCCGCGGGCCACGTGCTGCCCGCCAGTACCCATTATGCGCCCCGTGAAGTAACAAAATATTATTTATTCTTATTATTTTCTTTATAGCTCTCCCCCCCCCTATTTTTTATTTTGGCCCGCACAACTCCTGTCCTATTTTCTTTTGGCCCGCACAAGTTTTTCATAATGTATTAAGGCCGCCTTACATTTTGAGTTGTGCAGGCCTGCAGTAGATTATTCTTAAGGTTAATAAACTTTTTTATTAAACAAAAGAAAATAATTAATCAAAAGAAATAACCATTATTTTGGAAAGAAATCATATTTATTCCTTTAAAACTATTAGCATTTCATTTTAATGGGGTTAGAAGGTTACTGACTCTTTCAATCTCATAGTTACTATAGCAAATATTTAAACATAGCTTAAAAAATAAGCTTTTAGTTGTTGTATTTTTGTGGATAGTTAAAAGCTTTCATAAGTATTGGTAAGCAGAAATGTTTTATTTATTTATTTTAAAAATAAGTAAAAGATTTTGCTAACAACCTTTGGATCAATTACTGCTAGGACATCATTCAAAACTTGTAGCAGCTGTAGTGGTTCAAGCGAATCAAATGATATTAGGTTGTAAGATTTATTAAATGGTTCTTTGTTCAATTCCTGAACAATGAACTTCATCTGTTCACTCATACTCATTTTTATTAATAGTTGCTAACAACAGGTTCACCTGTAATAGAAAGTAAATATGATAAATAAATATTCCTCAAATGTATTGTCCATCACATCAATAACAATTAATGACAAGAGTCACATCATGAAAATGAAACAATTGTAAAAATTAAAAATATAATTTCAAAAAAAAAACTTACTTAAATGATTTTTTAAAACAAATCAAATGGCAATAGACATTGGGAAGTTTCAATTAAATTATAAATTAAATTATATAAGCCTAACTTTTAAATAAGCCTAACTTTTAATTGGCCTACTAAGGCACTTTCACTTAGTCTTAGCTTACTACAACTGATTTGTATTATATATTTCACTTTTAATTAAGAGTTTACTATTATTTAGAAAATTACTGCATTGGTTGAGCCTAACAATAATATGAATATGAACATTTATCACTATAAACTAATAGGTATTTATAGTACACTATTAGTATTACTGCAACGCGGATAGTAGGTCTAAGTCTAAAAAATCTTATTTTTAACATTAATTTAAGATTCTGATTGAATGATGATCGCCTTTGCCTTTGCATTTAAATGATGAATATTGATGATTATTAATTAATATTATGAGGGTTACATAAGAATAAAAATTAAGGACATTAAGGTATTACCGACTTAAATTATAACTTAAATGTGCCCGTGCTAATATGGGTAGCTTTGGTCTTGGAATTGGTTTGTATACATCGCCATAGCAAAATAAAATAATGCAGAAATACCGGGAATTATTAAAAAACTAGATCAATATTTTTTTAAATGTTAAGGCTGTGACTTTATGTTAAGATATAAAATAAAAAAATGTTCTAAGCATATAATCAAATAAAAATTAAAAATAATGATGATGACATTAAACGCATATGAAACACATATTTTATTGTATGTCATATTAATTTTACGCATAATTTTTGTTCTTTGTACTAGATCTTCTTCAATTTACAAATACTTAGCTACGTGTACTTCCTGTTAAGATGGCTCCCTCCAGAGATGTGAGTTGTTAAAATTAACTTTATTTTACTAAGACAATATGATTTATTTAGTAATGAAAATTTCAATACTAAAAAATTTGGAAATCTTTTTTCATGCTACTATTAAATTAAATATTACATTATCTCTCTATTATTCAGTGGAGCACTCTTCACCCGGTACACCATCTGTTCTAGTCTAGTTACTGAAGATACTCACTTCACAACTAATTTACTACACTACGTAGGACTACTGTCTACACTACTGAAATATTACATTAAGAAATGGTTTCAGCCGGCCGTCCAGCTTGCGCTCTTTATGCCCTCCCCAAAACACCCCTCCCCAACCCGGTATTGGGCCGTGGAGCAGCATGTCAGGGATGGGTAATCTACCACTTGAGCGTCGGCCAAGAAAAAATCCAGTTTTTCCGGTTGGAAGGGCTATTTAAACAACTATTCTTACATTGGAGTCTGTTAATATTTTTGTTTCCGTATAGAGGCTATAAAGTTATATAGCACAATATTTAAATAGGGCCTACTTATTACAGCCAAGCAACCGATATGCCAGGAAGAAAATTTAAAAGGGACAACAATTTTTTTTTTTTGATCCAGATGACACCGATGTCCACACACAGAATGTGGTCAACGTGAATGCTCAGAAAGCATAAACTGAAAAGACAGTTTGGCACAAGAAGCGCCGGTGATCTTTCCCCTTCATATTTACGTGGATTCATGTACCACAACCGTTTTCGTGGAAATTTTATTTTTTAAAACTTCATTGTCAACTTGGGGGATAACTATGCATAATTCCATTTTCACACATTATCTTCTATTTCAAATTTTGTTAAATAGTTTTTTCTATTTTAAAAAAATTGTCTATTATTATGGGAATGAATACCAATGTCATTAAAAATAATATAAAAATAGTTGTTTAAATAGCCCTTCCAACTGGAACAGCTGGATTTTTTCTTGGCCGACACTCAAGTGGTAGATTACCCAGGGATGTTTCTTTGTCAGGACAGCCCCGACTCGAGTCTGCTCGACCAGGTTCCGCTGGAGGCCGCCCCAACCTAAAGACACCTGGTCGGTCCGAAACTGTGTTTGCACACAGTGCACATGATCGACTTTCTCAGGAGTAGGAATTGAAAAAATTACTTCCTAAAATCTTCCCTCACCCATCCCAGGGAAGCGTTAGATGCCCTATAAGAGGGATTCTACTGTGGGTTTCCACAATGCAACTAATTTGCGAAGTAACTGGGACGAAACAGTTGCCTTGGAGCAGCTTCTCAGGTCTGCACTACTTAAACTGTTACTTACTCTAATCTAATACAACTAGTAGTCTCACCCTGTTCTTTGGCTTGGCTTTCTATAAGTTTAATTAAAATTAAGTCAAAGTTTGGTCTGAAAAGTTACTTTGTATAAATCTAAGACAAGACTAAGTCCAAGTCTTGATTCTTACTCATTTGAATTTGAACTTTAATTTTGAGTGTAAATTTGTGATGTAATGGCATACATAAGACATACCCAACAACCAGGTCAAGGTAAGCAAAGTCAAAGCTACTCAGACAAAGCAGCAAATTAATAATTAATAAAGAAATGCCAGTTCAACAATGACAATATTAATATTAATATAAATTTACATTCGCCGCACTACTCATTTTCCCAAGGCCACCATCTTGGTTGACATGATGGCAGGCATGTCATGGCAACCAAGATGGCGTCTGTGTAAAAAAAAAAAAAAGGAGTACAAAACACGTCTTCTAACATGGGAAGGGGAAAGAATGTGCTGTTTTAGTGAGAGAAAAAAATTAATAATTAGGTAATTAGGCTAATTAGGAAAAAAACATTAAAATCTAATGAACTAATTTTTTGAGAAAAACCCAAACGTTAAAATCTACAACTCTACCTAACTCAAGCTTAAATTCCCCCCTAAAGTTAGTCTTCCCCCCCGCCGCTAAATTTAAAGTTAATTTACCCATGAATTTAGCGGACCCCCCTTCCCACTGGAGACTAAATCTTCAAACCTATAATGTTTCACCTAATGATTTGCAGAACATTTTTGGCTTATTGAACTTTAATAAAAATGAGTTCCCACCAAACCATGCCTGAACATTTATTTAAAAATTAATAATTGATCAGATACCTGTATTTCTATTAAGGGATAATTTTATATGTTAAAAAATTTTAATGAATTTTTTCATATATAGTATTGTAAATCAAAGATTGTATAAATCCTTCTTATTCAATTTATCACAGGGTTTCCCATTCTTTTCTATCTCCTCCCTATGAATTGTTTAGCTATGTCTGGCTTTCCCTACAAATTATTTGACTAAGTCTCACACATCCTACTAAAGTAACAATGCATTTGTTTTGATAATTAGACAAGTTACTTAGACTTATAATTATTTTTTTTTAATTTTACATTTCAAAGAGAACTGAAAAACTTAAAAAATAAACTTTTTACTAATGGCATATAAATAAAATTTAAATGAGGAAATTTTTTTTTTTAAATTTAAACATTATATCATAATTTAAAATTAAATTGTTCCTGTGTTCTTATAATTGCTATTCTAATTCCTCATATTCCTGAAATGCAACCTCATACCATCCGCCTGAGGTTGGCAAACTCTGCTTTTCATTCAGCAGTGTACGACCCAAACAATAATGACTCAAAAAGTAAAAACTAATCATTGGATTTTATTTATTGAGAAAGCCACTATTGTCTTATTATGTTTCAATTGACCTGAAATCCTCAATGTAATGATGTAATTAAATATTCATGTAGCTGTTCTGATTTTAGAGGGAAGAATGGGTTAAAACACAAATACTTTTTTTTTCTACTAAAGACAATAACTGTTGTTGCTTCTATGAGTATTGTTATATTTAGTATTTTTAGGAACACTAACACGTCTATTCAGCTGCGTGTCTACAGTTTTAATGACTTTACTAGCAAGATCACATGGCTTCTCAACTAACAAATCACAGACCTCACGTATTCATAACAAAGGGATGCAACTGTAACAATACAATGATATCACAACAAGCATAATGTTTTGTAAAAAAAACTGCTTACCGGTAATAGATTCCAATATTTTTCATCAATTTACCACCAAAATATGCCAATATTAGTTGATGGAATATGTGAGCTGCAAAACTTTTTCATTGTGTAAATCATTTTATCTGTGGGGGAGATGATGACTCAACAATCTTTTCTATTTTTATTCAGAGTGCGTTGGATGAAAAACCAATCAAGATTGACAAATGGGACTCAGGGGCTCTAAAAAATGCTTTGGATGATGGAGCAAAAAAGGTTTAGTTTCAATATTCATATTTAAATACAAAATACTTGTAATAATTTTTTCTGAAATAATCTTTGTTAAATATTTTATATTGACAAGTAAGTATCAATATATATATATATATTAGATAGATATTAATATATGAATATTATTGTTACAGTTTATATGGTCTTTGAAGGTTTGAGGGGAATATTTTAAAATTTCCTGGTCCCTGAAAGTTTGGGACAATTGTGGCAAAAAGTGTCACTGTCTTTGAAAGATCGGGGGGGGGGGGGGGGGGGGGGGGGGGGGTCCCCATATACCGGGTAATTGACATCCGCAGTGTACATTTTTCTTAGTGATCCGTAACCCTGCAAGAAAGAAATTTTTGTTGATTGGTCGGTAGATATTTTATAGCCAATGAAATTAATATTAAGAAAAAGTGAAATAATTATTATGCATTATTTGTGTAAATATTAAATAAATAAATAGACTGAATATGTAAATCAAGCTGAACACAATTTTTGTTCAAAATCACTGGATACATTTCCTCATTAGGGATTCATCATGATTACTATTAATTCATACAAGTTACTTACACTAAGCTGAATCAAATGTATATATCAGTGTACCTACTTTTGTGTTATATCTCCAAAAAGAAAAGGATATCTCTACAACGATAAGCTGACTATTATGTCTATATATTGTATAAACTTAACTGTGAGAAAGAATTTTGAGCTCGTTTTTTTCCTTTAGGATATGAAGGTCATTTTAAGTTTGTAAAAAAAAATTGTCTATGAAGGTTTTGGAAAAGTTTATTGAATTCTGGACCTTGAAATCTGTATGAACACTAATATATATTTATAGCTTCCTAACTATTATTTATTTATCAACAGGTTTTTGTTGATATCTTTCGCTTTAAAGAAAGTCACATGCTCATGAATGGTCGTCTTTTCTTATGCACAATAGCCATAGGATTTGCTATGTTTGCACTGGTTTGGGACTATTTATACCCATTTCCACAGTCACGTAATGTTCTACTTTGCTGTGTGATTGCGTATCCTTTAAATTTTAAATTGTTAAAATTTCTTAATAATTAATAGTTTGAAATAAAGTTTCTGGTTTCTAATTAATGTTTTATAATATCAAATACATGCCAAAGATATGATTTGCTTGGTTTAGCATGCTCATATTTGTACATATAATACACCAGGTTCTTAAAAACATATATTTTTCATCTTGTCAGTTTCGTAGAATCCAAGTTCATGGTAATAGTTATAAATGAAAATTGTAAAACCCATTGGTCTTTTTTTTTTTTTTTTTTAATTTATCCAATGAGTGATCAAGGAATAAATATATGTTTATTTTATCACCTGTCATTTGATCATTATATTTATAGAAAGCAATGCAAGGAATCAGCCAGGAAAAAAATAAATAAAAATTGTATTTTCTTTTGGTTTTTTTTTTTTTTTTTTTTAATATATCCAATGAGTGATCAAGGAATAAATATATGTTTATTTTATCACCTGTCATTTGATCATTATATTTATAGAAAGCAATGCAAGGAATCAGCCAGGAAAAAAGCTGTATTAAGATTGTATTTTCTAATACTTACTAATAGTCCTATTGTAATCAATTATAAAAGAATTTATTGATAATTAAACATAGCTTAGTCTGGAGTAATTAAGAAGACAAAGACTGCTCATTCACATAAAATTTATTTTTATTTTAAAAAAAGAAATATGCCTATTTCCTATTCATTTTTTACTGGCTCTGTGTACAGGATTCTGCTAATGTAGGTCGGCATGTATGGTACCACTGTCAATGAATAAAAAAGATGCTTAAAAAATTAGACTGTTTGGGCCTGTCAATTCGTTTTTATGAGGATAAAAGAAGTGCTACTTAATGCATATTTTCTTTAACCAAAAAAAATCAGTTACTTTATACTGATGGGTGTTTTAACAGTGTATCTCACCTATATTGAAAAGGGGATCTTTCTGGTAGCACTTGAACAAGACAGGGCAAAGATGGAGCCAGACAACAAGTGGACATTACAGTCATCACTCCGAAAGTAGGTTTCAGTTTTGTTTTATTATAATATGTGAGGGACGGCATTCAAGCCAAGTGAAGTAAATAAATAGTGGAACTAGATATCTCTAGGCTCAAAAAGAAAAGTTAGGACAATTAAAACTTTTGTGTTCCCAGATCACAATTTCAAATAATTTGTTTTTCTTGTTTTGTATTGTCTGCTGAAGAAGGCGCCTAGCCAAAATGTCCTTTTGATTGTCCTGCCTTTTCTTTTCAAGCTTTAACATATCTTGTGTCACTATTTATGTATCTTAAATTAAATAGTTTTACAAATAAAATGTAAAGGTTTTATTACTTTGCAAATATTCCATCACAGTTGCCTGTACTATTTCACTCAGATCTTTTTTGTTTTTTAAATTTGCCACATTATTTTAACTTCAAGCATATTTCTTGTTTCCATAAAATTCTGTCCATAGATATGATGATACCTACCACCTCACACTGACCTTTACTGATGGCAGGACACAAGAAGAAAGAAGCTCATCCATCTCAAGATGTGTAGCCAACTTCTTTGATGAAAATGGTACATTTTGCTTTGATTTGTTTCAGCCCATTATTGAGAAATTGCGACAAGACTTATCAAGTGAGAAGAAGAAACAGTAACTATCCTCTCATAAAGTGTCATCTTCTAATGGTGTTTTTACCTACATTGTAAAGAAAAAAAATTGTTAAAAAACCTGTTTGTCATCCAATTTAAAATGGCACAGTGGTTTGAAATATTTAAACTATGAACTGTCAGAGATTAACACAATATGGTTTTAAGACCCAGTGCTTGTTTTCAATTGCATTTATATTTCAACCATTATCTTATTTGAAACTTAGAATTTTAAAAGTAGCACTTAAAGTCGTTACTATAAGAATAGGGCCACATACTAAGATGAAAGATGATGTTAGCTAGACATGTATTAACAGTAAAAACAAATTACAATATAGCATTTGTGTTTCATTATTTCAAGTATTATTTTGTTAAATTATTTATAGATATGAAATGCTTTGCTTATAATAACTTAAATTGTAGCGAATATATTAAAGCACTGGACCAATTTTTTTTTTTAAATTGGCATTTAACATTTTTCTTCATCTGCACTCCTCATCATTGTGGGACATAGCATGTGATGGCAGTGTTGATTTTTAGAAGTTTAAAAATGGTTTTGATATATTTCATGAGTAATCTGATTGTAATTACATTTAATTTGATGGTTCATCTTGATGATAGAACTGCCTCACTGTTAAAAGCATCATTTCATTCTCTTAGTTAAAATGATAGTAAAATGTTAGATCTTTTGTGTGTGTGCAATTTCCTTGTTTTTTGCCACTAATCAAAACTAGAAAATGTAATATTACATTATTACACAACAAATAATATTATTTAACTCTTAGTTATTTATAATTATATAATGCACAATCTCAAGATTTTTATTTGCTGATTTATCAATTTTTATTTTTTTTTGGGGGGGGGGGGGTGTTTAAAAATAGTAACACTATCACTATCAACAAAGTAAGAGGTCATCTATGTTTTTCAGGTATCATGATTTAATTCTTATTTATTTATAATTATATAATGCACAATTTCAAGATTTTTATTTTCTGATTTATCAATTTTTATTTTTTTTTGGGGGGGGGGTGTTTAAAAATAGTAACACTATCACTATCAACAAAGTAAGAGGTCATCTATGTTTTTCAGGTATCATGCTATTTGCTTGATACTTTGACTTTAATAAGTATAGTTTCCAAAGATTAAACAAATAATCTTTAGCCTTGAAATATATAATTTTGTCATAATCAAAAACATGTCAGTTCATTGTTAGTGAATGTGGTTGGTCATTGGTAACTGTTTATGGGGTGATGGTACATATTTCAATTCCTCTGCTTTGGTAATTGTTCATTTTCTATTCTAAATTATAAAATTGTTACATAACCATGTCCATGTCTTTGTTTTTAAGTAACTTGTTTGTTGTTTAAGTAACATCATTTATTGATGATGTATAGTCATTTTAACCGTGTTCACCTGATACAAATAATGACAGACGTTATCGCCTTGCCCTTAGCACCTGCTAAATGGTGCTTAGGCCTTGGGTAGAATTTATGTTGTTTTTCATAGTTGATTTAGGTTCTTAACTTTTGAGATAAGGAGTTGTCTTCCTTAACTCCCCAAGAGACAGGTAGCCTTGACTTGTGTGAATGCTTGCTGCATGATCCAAATAACTTGAAGAAAGTCTCAACAGCTTTTAACACATAAAGGATCAGATTAGCAGTCACAAAAATTGTGATGCCTTCACCTTTGAACTCTTATCCTTTGTCACTTGAAAAAAAAAAAATTGTTTCTTGTATTGTTTAATTGTACTGGTTTCTGTTTAGAATTGATCTTGTAATTTAAACGCTAATCATGTTATTGGCCAATGACATCTAGTTACATGCTAGAAGACTGAATGGTCATTGTTTTCATTTTTTAAATATTTGACTGGTACAATTTTTTTGCCACATTTTTCTCCCAATTATTGTTTTGTGAAGTAAAATTCAGTGTTAATGTTTGGACATTTGTTGATTTTTACTTTTATTTTGTTGCGGGAAAAAAAAGAGTGAACGAATGCAAATCAACCACCTTTGTTTTGAAATAATTTAACTTTATCTTGTTATTAAAAAATGTGTCAAAGTTAGATGTCATGCCATTTTTTTTTCTCACATTCTGAATGCCTTAGCTGGACGGACCATATGGATGATTTTGGAACTCCTAGTGTATCTCCATTATCCCTAGCTGATCGCAAAACATGGGCTTCAGCTTAACCCTGCAATTACCTTCCAGAACAATGGTTGATGCTTTTCTGTTCATCTCCATCATTACCATCTCCTTCAGTTTTATTTCCAACTTCTGGCAGTATGAAATACACACTGTATTTTCTAGAGTTCCTCTCATCTCCTTCCTAAAACAGCAAGAGTATCGCACACAAATTTAGCTACATTTTTAAATCCTCTATATTTTAACCTCGCTTTTGTTGTAAGTTTGTCGGTAAAAATCTTCAGAAGGCTAATTGACTAATTTCCCATCATCCTATCGAGCTCAAACTTGGCTCATAGACTCATTGCAAAGGAAAACACATTCTATCAAATTTTCAGCCCCAACCCCAGAAACTGTTTTTCATTTGTTCAATGTGTCCAAGTTTTGAGGTGGAGATTGTGTAGATGTTGCTATGCATTTCGTAATTGTGGCACATTTGGGTATGCAATAAAATACAATGTATTTTTGAAGGGGAAAATGAAAGAAATAGGAAAGGTGTTTACTACAGAAGTGTAACCATTTACATAACTGCTTCTTAGTAGATCACATACAATTGCATAATCATAAATGGATTCCAAGTGCCTATTAATAGATAGGATTTATACAAAAAACTTAATTTTTAGGGGGTTGTTTTTAAATTTAGGTAAGGATTTAACCCCAGCTTGGTATTCATATTGTTATAGAACCAGACTTACGATCAGTAAAATAAAATACCGGTAAATAATATGTCAAGTCCCTTTGAAGATATCACTTGCTTTGTTCACTTGCTACAGTGAAAAAAACACAAAAGAATTCCTTGGAACAACACATACCGGGAACTGCTAAATGGTGGAAGACATTTTTGAAAAAGAGATGCCCTATGCAAAAAAAAAAAAACAACAAATTGCCCATCTAATGCCACCTATAAATATTATTTAAGAGGGGCTGCAAAATTTGTAATTTTCAAAATGTCCCTTCTTCGGGAAGTGGGAATATGGGTTAATAAAATTAAATCTGTGTTCAGAATTCAAAAGAAATTCAGCTATCAAACAAGTTTGCTGACGTATAATGCATGATAAGTTAAAAACAAAAGGAAATAATTAATCCAAATAAATGCATTAAAGTTCTTAATTATTTTCTTTAGTTTTTTTACATTACCGGTAACTATAAATAATTTCTATAGGCTTATCAAATAAATTTCTATGAATAAAACCGGTATGTAATATAAAAAAAAAGATTTACATCAAGTTTATAAATAAACCATAGTTTATTTTCATGGCTAAGTACATTGAAATTTATTTAACAATATTAACAAAGTACATAAATATTTAAAGGTCTACATATGTACAAATTTACAATGTCAACATTCATCACATCCAAACATTAGTTGCACTTTGTAAAGTACTATAAATGAATTATTTAAGTCCAACATATATCACCTCATTTAGTTAAGAAAGAAAAAAAAAAAGTCCCCTTTATTCTTTGTCACATAAATAAACAAAGTTTTTGTTTAAAATTATATACATCACCAGGCCAAAATTCTCATAGAAATAAAAATTCCTAATAATTAAATTTTCTTCTACAGTTTTGGATATCTCTTTCAGCTATTCTGTTTTTTGATTGTGAGATATATGCTTTAATTCACTTACATCCACATGAAAGCAATTCAGAAAAAAAAGTGTGTATTTGAAAATAATTTTCAAAATAGTTTTAAAAATTAATTGGTCTTTAAATTAGATAAATTATGTTAAGCCACAAGCATTACATTTCAGTAAAACTTAGATATTATAATCTTAGAGTAAATAAATTGCATCACATTACTTTTACAAAGAGACTGACTTACCATAAATTTGGCTTTTTGATTACTTTTAGTCTGATGGTATTTAAAAAAAAAAATAATAATAATAAATACCTAAAATAGATTTTTGTAAATACTCTTTCTCCATTAGCACTGCTGTTTCATTCTATTTTATATATTCTTCCAAGCTCAACTTTATTACAAGGTTTATTTTTGCAATTATTTTTCAAAAAATAAAAAAATTATTGACTGTGGCATTTCAAACATAGGCAATATAAGCTACAATGTTGCACAGTAATTAGCAATCAATGCAAAGAAATCTAAGGCTTGGGAACACTTTTTTCTTCCACTCTAGGCTTTTTCAAAGGTGATGCATTAGGCATGAAGGCCTGTGGATAAAAAAAATGATCAAATAATAATGTCATGAAATAATATTTATTTCAATAAAGACTTATTCTCAAATGTCAACACAATTAAAAATGTTAACACTTAATAAGAAATAGAAGAAGCAAAGTAAAAAAAAGTAAAAGCAATGGTACCTAGTAATGGTCCATTTATTTACTGAAATTAGTGAAATACAGTAGATTCTTATTGTATGGCTGCCATGAGAACTAGAATTTGTACCGGTACTAAAATTCCATACTAATTTGTTTTATTTAATACCAATGATCTTTACCTTACATACAACTGATATAAATAACAAACCAGATCAAATCTTATGTTACAAGAATGATTGACAACTCCGACCTTATTTACTTGTTTTTCTTGAAGTTTGGAGAGTTCTGTCAAGTAAAAGGTCATGACTTCATCGCAGTCTCGTCTGACCTTTGTACCTTCACTATTGTACAGGTAACAATTAGTTCTGATCAACTCCATATCCGATTGGAAATCTTCAAAGCTGCTATATTGCCCTGTCTGTATTTTAAAATATAAGCAATATTGTCAACAATTTTAGCCTCTTCAGCCAAGTGGATCTTTTACCACTTAAGTGTAACCCACTAAATTATTATTTTTTTTTTAATTCAGTTCTGCAATTGCATTATTTGTATTCTAACATGAGACACCACTTGGTAGGAATTATTCTAACCTATCATGATTAATTAGACACAAACAATTTTTGTCACTAAAACAATATATCAGACCTGTTCACCCTCAAACTCTTAAAATCGTACAATATCATCACAAAGTCATTTAATATGTTATATTCATAGTAAAAAAAAACATACAGTATATACAATCTCTACACCTCAAAATCGTACATTGTACGCCAAAATCGTAAGAGTAAACAGGTCTGATATATGCTCAGCTTTAGTGAAAATTTCACAAAATGCAAAAGTAAACGTTTCAGCAAATGCCTTTATCAATAAAAAAAAAAGCATTTAAATAATTATAAATTTAAATTTACACAATATATATATTTACATGTATCCTACCTAAAAAATTGAAAAGAATAAGAGTGGGCGAAAACCCAGACAAAAACAAAGTTAAGAAGAACGAAAAGGAAGTGAGTGGAAGTAAAATTTAAAAAAACAAACAGAAAAAAGACATGGCAGCTACGTAAAATTGTGGATTTGGTTTATTACCATATGGAGTCAACGTATTAAATACTTCCGGGGCGCCGCTCTGCAGGTTACTCGATTTCATCTGTGCATGTTTTTTCAGATTTTGTAATACCCAGTAGTTTAAAGGATTTAACGTTTTTTTTTTTTTTGAATCAAGGTGTGTTGAATGTATTTTATCTGCTTTTACTGATAATCTTGTGTTGTTTACCGCGATGAACAGCGATTACATGAATTTTTTGGACATTGTTGCCCTACACCAAGACAAATCAGTATTTTGTAATACCCAGTAGTTTAAAGGATTTATCGTTTTTTTTTTTTTTGAATCAAGGTGTGTTGAATGTATTTTATCTGCTTTTACTGATAATCTTGTGTTGTTTACCGCGATGAACAGCGATTACATGAATTTTTTGGACATCGTTGCCATACACCAAGACAAATCAGTAGCCGCCATATTGGAAAAAATTGAGACGCCATCTTGTATACAAATGGCAAGATCAAAACAACCATTTAAAGACAAATCGACTACAGAAAAAAGACGTTCCCTGATTTTGGAGAAGAAAACCTCCGTTCAAACAAAAATCCAAGACTGTTCTCACTCAAGAGTTACTCTTACCGCACACTTTCAGGCCGAATGTCTGGCTACAGACTAATATTAAGGAACAACGGAAATTTACGGAAAACTCAAACATTTCAAGGGCTGAAGGAAATATGTATGATGAATGTCAAAAACAAATTTCCATTTATTTGGATCAATAAAAATATCTTATCATAGCTTATTAATTTATTTTCAATATAAATCCTATCTGGTGTTTTACTTGTATGCAGTATACCAGTAACTGCAATGTCTAAAATTCCAATATAGTGTTAGTGTTGAAATGTTTGGAAAATAGACAAAGGGTTTTTCTATTTATATTATAGAGGTGTTCTCTAAAACTGTCTCCACGGCGACGACCTATCTCTCCTATATATTTACAGCACTCTTTACAAAGGATGGTGTTAATCATGTTGCGACTTGTTAGGTAAAGCCATCTTTGATTCTGAATATTCCAGAGGGAAAGTGATCTTGTCAACTTTAATCAATGTTAACCTAACATGAAATCGTTTCTAAGGAAGCATCTTATAAAGTCTAAGAGTTTTGGGGATGAGATTAACAGGCAATGTCCAATATAAAATAAAATATGAGGGGAAAACGATGACTACTTTCATTTGGTGAGGACTGCATAAGTAACTGTATTAATACAGTATTATGGAAAAAGAGAAAGAAAAAAGAGAACAAGAGGAAAAAAGGGAGATAAGAGAATGGAAAAGGAGCAAAGAAAGGGTAAAAAAGAGATGGGAAAAGGGGAGGGGGAGGGGAAATGGGTAAGGGAAAATAGGAGATAAGAGATAGGAAAGGGGGAAAAACGAGAAGAGAAAGGGGGGGAAAAGGGAAGGGAAAGGAAGTACATTGTGATTGGATGAATCAGCTCAGTGTCCTGTGAAAATCCAATGACTAAGGAGATAAATCAAAAACTGGCCACAAGGCAGACTCATATAAGCGACGCATTTATCCAAAGCTTTTACCTCAAGTTTTTTGCGCATGGTTGAAAAGTCCATTGGATTCTGTATCACTGTGTAGTAATCGGGTGCATCTATTGAGTCCACTGAAGGAAAATGTTAGTGTACTACTTTAGACAAACATAAACCACTTTAAACAAACAATTTGTGTTTAGATACAAATCTTAATTGTTTAGAAACAAATCTAAATTTGATCTGAACAAATAACCTCTTCACAATAAATTTAATCTCAACAAAAATGAATGACATCATTAATAAGTTACTAAATTTTGTTAAGACCAGTTTGAAACAGTTCACATTTAGAGTGCATCTTTTGTATTTGTATGGTTGTATATTTCTTCACAAATCCACAACATGGAGGCAGACTGGATATAGTTTTGCATTTAGTTTGGAGTTTGATAATGTGAAATGGCAGACAATAAGAATAAATTTATCAGGCCTGTCATTCTCTTTCACATGACAAAATGACATTTCGTACCTGGAAAGGTAAACCATTCAGCAGCTGGTATTTCATTTCTATCTCTTGGGGAACCCTTGAACCTAGCAACCTTCATCAGCAAACTAAAAACAAAACAAAAAATAAATAAATAAGTTTCTTAATCTACTAATTTGTTGTTTAAAAAAAAAAAAAAAGATAAATTTGTTTTCAATTTTCATTGACTTTAATTTTCTTAGTATACTAATACTAACGCGTTAACGTGTTGTTTACCACACATCATACTTTTCAAAGGAAAATAGCAGAGGGGTTTAAACTTTTCAGTTATTTTATATCCCATTTCCGATCATATGAGGATCAGATTTCAGATTGAATGTAACCGGCTTAGGTTTTTATTTAAAAATAACATTGAAATTGAATGTTCACATATCAGATACAGGAGTTTAAAAAAATTTGAACTGCAAAGAAACTCTTTTAAGTGGTATTCCAATCCATAGACCCAGCTTACTTACTAAATACTAGTCTCACAATTTAAAATATAGCTTAATGATGAATAACATAAACTGGGAGTGTTCATATTAAACATTTATTTTAATGTTCCTCTGATCACTAATATCAGAGTCCGATTCTAAGTCAGAAAAAGAAGTAATCTGACATAATCAGCAAGAGACCTTACCTGGCTGCAGCTTTAACCCAACTTCCTGGTGCAGCCTGTGACGGTTCATCTAATCCAGATGGATGTTTGCGTTTACGTTTGCTGCTGCGCAACAGTCCAGAGGGATCTGAAGACATGAGGCCATCACTCTGAGATTCTAGATCACTGCCTGCAGCTTACGGAAACAATAAAATTATTTAATCATGCAGAATAAGATTAAGAATAAAAGTTAATCAAACATTATAATACAAGAGTAATATAAAAACAATTATTTTAAATCGCTCAGTATGATTCAGTTAATCAGATTTTCAATTCAAAACAATGACAAGGTTTTAACCTTTTTTTATTCCGTAAAGTTGTTGCCCCCGGCCCACCCACTTTTTTTTAATATATTCCAGGATGCCACCACCAAGTGTGAATTTTAGCTAGACAATTTAAAGATAATCTTTCTTCTTTTAAGATAACAGCCAATATGACAGTTCCAATTGAGCCCTGAGCCAAGAGAGAGCTAAATATCAAATCCATCTAGGTTTCAACAATTAGTTTGAAAAAAAAATATTTCTGAATATGCTCAGGATAATTATGTGAAAGGATCTCCACACAGTAAGGTCTATGTTAAGCTTATGTTTAAACTCAAAGCATAACAAAAAATAAAATAGTACATACTAGATCCAAAATCATCTTGTTGGAGACTAACAGAGGACTCTGACAGTGCTGCCAATCCGTCATGCTTGTCACCAGTGTCTGACTGAGCTGAGCTACTATTCTCAGCCTCTCCTTCTGAGGCATTGACCTGTTGGAAATATGCAAGTTAAATTGAATGATATAATCCACAAATCTTTAAAAGTACTCAGTTCACACTATTGACGATTTTCCTTGGGCCAAATCTACAATTACCAAGGACGCCACTATCATGTCGAAAATGGGTCCCAATCCTTCTGTTTTCTATAGATAATAAGGGGTTTTCCAATACCGGTACCTTGTTTTTTTTATATCAATGAAGATTTTTTTAGTTTAGCCTGTGCCAAGTTTTTATTAGTTTAAAAGTCCCGGGCTATATTTTTTATGAGAAAAAAAATATAAAATTTACGTTACTGGTACTTATTGTTTCTGCGATTCCAACTTAAGCCAAATTTAAAGAATTTAACAATTGTAATATTAATATGAAAACTATGGAAACAAAGGGTAGTTTTTCTTGATATAAAGCTGCTGGTTACTTCTCACTGAACTTGGTATCAAAAGATCATAAAATTGTAAAATTTTCATTTGGTACCAAAAAATGTTTTTTTGTTTGATATGGTATCCGATTTATGAGCCATTTAATAATTAATTTAATAATAGTAATCCTATTATAACCAGAAGTAAAAAACCAAAAACATAAAGTAGTATAAAGCGTTTTTGAATTTCCAATTCTAAAAATACAGTAAAGAGTGGACTGATCTATTGCCATTGCCTATATTCCCTCACAAGTTTCTTTTTTTCCCCTTTTTTTCAATATAGGCATTTAACTGAAATAAAATTGCAAAATTGACTATGTTAACAGTATTTTGTGCACAATTCAAATATATCATCTATGTTTTAATTAAACTTTTCAATAACGTTTAGGTGAGAAAAAAAAATTAATTTAGGTCCCTCCTTCAATAATTATGATCATTTCAAATGATCAGTGGATCTGTAAAAATTCAAATTTTACAGCATATCTAAATTTTACTATTAGCACTAAGAGGTCAGAACATTACATATTACCATCCCAGATTTGAGCTTATTTAAAATCTACATTTTACAAAATTAATACATCTATTGAATATTTAGTCACTTCATGATAACCCAGAAAAACCAAACTTATAATTACATCCACTAACTTTTACATTTTCATCAGGTTCTAAATTGATCAGATGGTAAGAAAATGATCAAAAAAGATTTTGCAACTTTCTTGATTTTTTAAAAAATATAAAAAATTCATTATTAATAAAAATCCAACTATAAAAATAAAAACCGCAATTGACTCAAACTGCATTAATGTAAAACAAGAAAGGTTCTCACTTGTTCATCCACAATTCCAACACTCTGACTAGTTAAGTCATCCAGTTTAAATGTGATGACAGAAGGGGAAGGGTCAACACTGACTGCTATAGGCAGGACACTGGGTTGTGGAACTGGCTTATGAGTAGCAGCGGGCTAAAAAAAAAATTGAAACCAAATTCATTAATAGATTTTAAAATTTCTTTATATGTGCAAACACTGAATGAAAATAAACATGCTTTATTATAAGCCAATGGCAAGATTTTTTTTTTAATCATTCATTCTAAAAAAAACACAAGGTGTTAAAAATAGAACTTACAGGTGCTTGGGAAAGAACACTTATTATATTGCTTGGTCCCTTAATCAAAGGAGGTCGTGTTATTTCTTGCATGGGAATAAAAGATGCCGAAGATGGAGATGATGAAACTGATGACACAGAAGATGATATTGATGAAGACCTGGTGAGTTGAGATGGCAGAGAAACCAATAGGTTGCTGTGAGGTACTGTGGAGTCTTGCTGAGATGATGCAGGGTTGGATACTGTCAGAATTCTTGTGCCATCTTTGGCTGGAGCAGGAAAAAAAAAGAATACAGCGTATCAGAAAATGTTTGCTTATTAACTCTTTCGCTGCGGCACAACGCACAGTGTGTTCATCCGCCGTTCTCAAAAGCACCGACCACCGCTCTCAGAGTTGTTTCAATATTATGGTTGTTTCTTTGCTATTTCTCGGTTAAACTTTTTAAAGAGCTATTTTTAATTAAGACTTTTACCTAGAGGAGTGGAACTTCATTGTTTATAAGCAAAACCAAGGTTTATTTGTTCTCATTTGAAGCATTTTAATGATTTTCTTTTTTTTCTACTATTGCAATGGCCACCCTAGGCCCTAGTAGCTGAGTAAGTTTCCTAAACAATTAACAGCTCAAAAGCTTTGGAATTATTTTATACTATTTCTATTGATAGCGAAGATGATTTATATTAAGATTCATCGCATGATTCCGATAGTAGTAGTTTTAAAGGATTTGAGTTATAGAAGTGAATATGAGAGTATGCGTACACGAATGGTTTTGGGGAAAAATTAGTTTAGCATAAAATGTTTCACATTTTATGGTTCTTTTCTGTTACTTATTTTATTTAAACTGAAGAAATAAATTTACATACATATAGCCCATTCAATCATCTTTCATTTGATACCAAGTTTAGTCTTATAAACCAAAAAGTACTATTGTACAAATTTTCATAAACCCTACTTCTCACTATTTTTCGCTCTTTGAAAAAAGATGTACATTTTTTCGATACAAAAATTCCGCAGCGAAAGAGTTAAAAATAACGTACAGTTTTATATGGTAATAAAACCCTTTTAAACTATCTTTAAAATAACATTATGGTTTTTTTTTTAAAAAAAGATTGACTACAGCATAATTATTTTTTTCAAAGCTATACAGCCTAAAAGCCAGAAACTATTGATTAAAAAAGGACTTCCAAATTTTAAAAAAAATGCAACCACATATAATAGAATTAGTAGTGACTTGACACCATCAGTTCACTGCTGACATACTGAAACATAAAAATATTTTGCAGCTACCTGTTTCTTCTCGTATGACTTCTGCCATACCCGACCTTGCAGTTACTGACGTGTCACTAATTAAATGTCCAGTTGCGGGGGACTGTACGGGAACATCATTGTAAGCACTGTCTCGATCCTCTTCGTCCTCCTCATCACCATAATCTTCTTCCTCATCTTCATCATTATAAGAGTCAAGGTTAATCTGAGCCTCTGCTAGAGAACTGCTTAGAAGGTCCAGCGGGGGCTGAGTCAGTGATAAAGAAGAGGTCAGTGCCGTTGTTTGTACCAATGAGGGTGCTGGTAATGTGGATGAGCTCGGCTGGACCTGCATGGATGAAGAGGGGGTCTGTGTTTGATTTGGAGTAAATGTGGCCGATGGAAGCCCCATCTTGGAACTTTGACTGTTATAGCTGTCAGTTGGTGGGGGGTTGCTGGCAGTGACTTGGTAAAACAGCCCAGTCTGTGTATCCAGCTGGCCTTCTTTAAGTCCTTCTTCTGAAACAAAGGAAAGATTAGCTAACTGAAAATACTGCTGCATTTGAAGTCAGTCTGATGATGCAAAGCATGCATAAATGATTACATCCTACTGAAAATAAACAATGCTAATAATCCAACATTCATTTGGTACTTGGTTTACTTGAATGATAGAATAAATATTTTACCTCAGTAGTTGGTTATCTTGAGAGATTTAATATTTTATTACAGCAAAGCAGCAAAGTTTCAATGGGCTTTGTAAATTTAAAAAAATAAATTTAAAAAAAAAATTAACTATATAGAATATCTCTTGAAACATTGTCAATCCCTGTTTGGTAGTTGAGTGCAAGTACATTTATTCATTTCAAATTAAAAACTTATCTCACTTTAATCAAACTCCGGGAGATTAATGACATTCTGACATAAAAAGTTCAATACTCCTTTCATTGTTTTGCTCTTCAAAAATCCAACTCTAATGTTCAGTCACTATTGAGCCTATTTTAATTTTTTCCTCCCAAATAACCAATGGAAAAATCCCTACTGAGAGTAAAAGACTTCTCAATTTAATATAAAAATATTACAAATAATAGAATCTGTGAACACCGTTAGTTCCTAGTTATCCTAATCATTAATTATGTCCCTTATTTGGGGTAACAAATAAATGCTCATAGACCATGCAAACATTTTTTTTTTCAAATTAAAAAAGCTTTCACCTGGAGAGACAATGACACCACCAAGGCTAATTTCAGATGAATTAACTGTGGAAGTTGTTTCTTTGTTAATTTCATTGCCAAAGCCTTTTGATGTTGTCAGTATGCTCACCTGCTCAAAAAAAAAAAAAGGACAATAAAAAATCCTCATCTGCTTCTTGTCTAAGGTTTTTAATGTTGTGATGGTGCACATAAATTGTCAAAACTTCACAAGCAGCATATTCAGAATGGGCCTAAACCTATTCAGTTAGTCTTTGATCAGCAGCATATTCAGAATGGGCCTAAACCTATTCAGTTAGTCTTTGATCAGCAGCATATTCAGCATGGGCCTAAACCTATTCAGTTAGTCTCTGATCAGCAGCATATTCAGCATGGGCCTAAACCTATTCAGTTAGTCTTTTATCAGCAGCATATTCAGCATGGGCCTAAACCTATTCAGTTAGTCTTTTATCAGCAGCATATTCAGCATGGGCCTAAACCTATTCCATGAGTCTTTTACCCAGGGCCAGTTTCTCATCATCAGAGGTAATGTCCACAGGGATAAAAAAACAACTCCTTTTTCACAATAGCGCTAAATCCAGGAGTTTGGGTAACAAAGAACTTGGGCACGCTGGACCAGTAGTCTTCATAGAGCTGTTTTAAATAATTATTGCATGTGTCTATATATGAAGTTTTGAGCACAAAGAATACTTTTACCTCTGGCAAGTTACTTGAGTAAAATTTAAAAGCAAATTAGCTGGCTGCTTTGTTTTAGGCATATTACCTGCTGATCATGTCTATCTTCATAAAACTTGTGCACAAAATTATTGCCTAGAAGCAGTCTAAACAAAATTTGATGCATATACTTTCTGGAGAAATAGAATCTGAATATTCTTTTGGTAGTTAGTTCAACAAATCTTCCATCAAGATTAAAAATAATTGTTTGGAGACCAATGTATATCAAATTGACATGATCCACCATTACATGGACATGAACATATGGGCCCTGGCCATGACATTAACAAGTTGCCTGATTAGTCATGTCATTATTGACAACACAATTTCATGTTTATAACTGTTCATCCTGAGTTAGGTGTGTGAGATGGAAACATCCATAAATATCTAACACCCTTATTTTAACATAAATTACCAATACCATACCTTGGGTTGCCCATGTAAATGTGAGATAGATGGGAGTAGTGATGTTGTAGTGAGTATGCTTGGAAGAAGTGAAGTTGTGGATGTAGGAGGCTGCTCAGATTCTGTAAGATCCACAACTTCTTTGTTCAATAATGACATCGCTTGTTCTATATGGGAAATTTGTTGGAATTAAACTCTAAAGCTCTCTGATATTTAACACAAAAAACATAATAGTTATTGACACAAATGAAACTGTAATTAATGTTTTTATTTAAATTTGATTGGGCTGTAAAAGGTCTATTAAGTTCCAGAATTTTAAAAATAATATTCCATACTTATTTGGTAGCATATGACCAATTTACTTAACGGATCATTGACAGTTTTGGATAGAATGTTGTACAATTTTACTTCCCAATGCAAGAATAACTTACCTAGTGTGAAAACTTGCTCAGTTCCTCCCATATCAGCTTCTTGATTTCCCCTTCACAAAAAAAAAATACAAAGTTTAAACACTTGCAATAAAATTAAATTGTGCATTCTGTATTACTAGGTTTCTCAAAATAGAATATCATACATTGAGGGAATGTAAATATGAGGAGAATGTGATTGGAAAAATTTGGCACTATTCATTATACAGAATAATCATTGATATATATTTATTGTAAATAAAATCAAGCACAACAGCTTAGCTTTTTTTTCTCCTTTTAAGCAAAATTAATTTTCAAAAATATTTAATTACTGTGCCACTTATGGCATTAAACTCTTGAATATCCAGTGACAATGGTTCAAAGACACAACAAACTATTACAGAGATAAGCTCACCTGTCATCAGTATGGATACCAAAACTAAATGCCTCCTCCTCCACGGTATCAACTACCTCCTGGGGTGCTGCCCGCCTCTGTATGGGCAGGCGTGTGAACTGCTGTGGTTGGGACTGTCTGAATGGTGTTGATGTAGAAAGACTAACAGCAGATACTGTTTGAGGTGGCCCTTCAGTGGTATCAAAATCATAAGGATCAGTTCCCTGAGCTAAATTGAAAGTAAAAAAAAAAAAATGATGGGTCAGATAATTGTAAAAGCAACTGAACATTTTACAAGCATTTGCTTTCCTCCCGAAACTACTCTAGCCACTGTAACATAGCTGTTGATTAAATCCATTCCTTTAATTGAAAATTTGTGTGCAGACAGCCCCGTAATTATAAAATTTAACAATTTATTCAGAACCCTTTGGAAGCTTTTATACTCAAGGTTTCTAATTCCCAAAGATCTCAGTAAAAAATTTTTTTTAATGATTTCATATTTGTTTACAGTGATTGTTATTCATAACTTTAGTTTTAAAGGTTATATTATGAAGTTACATAAAAAACTCTAAAATGGTTTAAAGTCTTGAAACAACTAAACACCAACCATTGGTTTCAACTGCCACTCCATCAGGTGGGATTGCAACGGCCTGTATCAATTCAGCTAGTAAGGAGGATGTTTTACCATCACTGTCTGCCCGGCCGCGATGAATAATTGAGATTGGCTGAAAACAGAAAGTGTGACATCACTATAAAAGAGAAATATTTCAAAGGAAATTTGTTTAAAAAATAAAAAGATAGAAGTGTTCAGTACACCCACAATGTAAATGAAGTTATTTATGATTTTAAAAAGTGGATTTAAATACACTGTGACTTTTACTGAATCCTTTTATAGTTTGTCTTATGATTAATATTCACATTGCTTCAAGACCTAAACGTTTTAATTTCTTAATTCGAATTAAACAATAGAAATTGCAGTGACATTACAAAATTATAATAATATTACTTCTTTTTTTGCAATTTTATTTTCAAAATGTATTCGATTCCAAAACATGCTTTAAAACATTAACAATAGCAAATAAGAAAGTTAGTCCAAATTAAAATATATATTATAAGCGACCAAAATATTTCATTTATGTGTGCAGATCATATCTGTCATTACCACATAAAGTAAACTGTTTAAACAAAAATTTAAATAAATAAAAAAGGCCAATAAATTCAATAAGCTATTTCATTAAAAATAACTAAAGGATAGTTAAAATAAAACATCCCTCAGTTCTGTTACGGGCGATAAATATTCCTGTAACGAAAAATAATTCATGTTAGAAAAAACAAATACCCCCATATTAAGATTAGCTAGCACCTCAGTTAAATTTTATGTTTAATAGCATTTTAATTTACTCCTTACCATCCTTTGGTTGTTGAAATCATTCCAGTGCATGGAATGATACTCGGGTATCATGCATCACGTGGCAATGTAAATCGGAGTACAGAAGAGTGTGAAGGATATTACAATAATCACAATCACATTCAGTTTTGTTAGTTACCCGTACTTGCTTAGCCTCCCCACTACCACTACTTGTTGTGATGATGACCCTCCTCTCCCCTCCCCTCCCGGTGCTCGTTGTGGTGACAGACTGTGTGGAGGCGGTGAGTACATGTCGACCTTGAGCATCTTTGTGAACCAGGCCCATGAGATCCTGCATGGATTGGGAAAAAAGCTTGAACAGGAAGACAAATATTTTATTCAATATTTTGTTTTAATGAACATTTTTATGTGGTGTACCTTTCTTTCTATATATTATGGAGCAGGGGATTAACAACCCAATCCTGAAATATGGCAATCACGTTTTTTTAAGATAGCTCTTGTATGAGTTTTTGGAAGCCCAATACATCTTCTTTTTTTTTTATATCACAGACCTGTTTACCCATAAACTCTTAAAATCATACAATATCATCACAAAATCGTTCAATACATTAACTTAATAGTAAAAAATATACATACAGTATATATAATGTATACACCTCAAAATCGTACATTGTACGCCAAAATTGTAAGAGTAAACAGGTCTGATATCATGTGAAATCTGTTAACTTTAAATGGTGCTGGACAAAGTTTGATAAAACTAACAACAATTCTGTCATGAAAGATAAAGAAAATAAATCTTTTAAAAAATATGTATAATCAAAATAAAAGGCAGCACAATCTGAAGCTGCTACCAGTCTTTTACCTTGTCAATTGCTCCAGGCAAAGTAGAGGTAGTTATTGTTCTAATGTTTGTACCTCCCTGTGTTAAGGGACTCTGAAATCGTGGGTGCTGTGTCTTCTGCACCACTATGACATTAGGTTTAGATACTAGTAGATAAAAATCATACAAGAAACGTGTTACTCTTCAAATACTAGGATGCAAAAGAATTAGTTGTAAAATATGAGGAATGAATTTAACAAAATGTGAAAGAATTAACTCAATCCCGACGGTTGTGACTAAATGCGTATTTTGAGGGTTTCGACGGATGCGCCCAAATGCGTCCCGGCGCATAGCAACACACCTCTCTTATATTTAGTTAAAAATAGCAATGAAATCTCGTGTACCTTGAGACTTCCGGCCATGTCATGATTTTAATTTTAAAACCGAAAGTTTTTATCTTGTTTCACTTTAAAACTACGTGTGCTTTAGTACGGCACGTCTATATCTAGCATGTGTTCGTGCGAGGTGCCAAAAATCGATTTTTTAGCCATTGTTCATTATTTTTTCACCGCTAATGTTATATTTTTATTAAACCTTATTCATTTTTTGATGCATTTGTCCATAATTCATTTAACATTTATTAATATTTAGCAGCTTTAAAAAATATTCTAAAAATGTAAACCAATTTCAAAACTGAGTTGCTTCCCTTATCTCAGGAAAATAAATTAAGTATGGAAGTAGCACTGCCAGAGGGGGAATGAGTTAAACACCATTTTAGTACAAATTTCCAGAAGTATATTTTTTTTTTTAAATGTAAGATAATGTACATTTCAATATGGTGGCAGAATAAGATATTTGAAAAGGAGAATGCCACAATAACATTTAGAAAATAAAATATATATACATAAAACTAATCATAAAATGGACAAAAAAATGTATAAACATAATGACAATACCAGACTCTGACACTGAGATTATTTCCAACCTGTTTTAATGTATTTAAATGAAACCCTGAACAAAGTTTCTGTTATTCATGAATGCCAAATTTGGTGCAATAAATGAATTATAAAACAAACGTCGCAGTGTGTAACTGCACCCAAAAATGAAAATAAATTATCTTTTTAAAAAAATTCACTGACCAGTTGTGCTTCCAGAGCCTGTTTTGACTGCTGTTAAATGAAGAGTCTTTGGGCTAACAGTAACAACATTGGTTGCCTTGGTAGTCGTGGCTATTACCCTACCACCAGGTGTTGTAATGTTTAACACTTTACCTCCAGAATGAGCTAGAGAAATAAATTAATAAGATGTCTTATTTTAATCTAAAAACTGGAAAAAATCCTATTGCAAGTATTACGACAAGGATTTTGATATTATTTATCTATTTCTGTAATTATATTGTGCTTTAAAGAGTTGCCTCAAAAAAGTTGTTCGGTCATCTAAAACATTTATTAAACCAAAAAACCAACCTGTGTAAGATGAGATAGATCTTGGCAGCATAGTGACACCAGATGCTCCCCCTGTAGCAGACTGACCAGCATTGACCATCACGACCGGTGTACCCCCTGCACCAGTGATTTGTGTTGGCTTAGGTAGGATTTTGCTTGTGCCACTTTGAGTGATGATTTTGACACCTAAGAAAGAAGACATATTTCTGTTAAGTACAAAAATATGTTTCTTTAAGGATTTTTCAAAAATAACTTAAGAGAAAACAATGTTTAAAATATTTATAAATTATTACCAGTTGTAAACACCTCGAAAGCGAGGGCAAAAGAAAATATTTATTTTTTAAAAAAATGCCAAAAAAATTGTTTCGGTAAGTTTTTTGTGGAGCAACATGAATAGAATTGACAGCCTTCGTATCTTGGAGTTTAAAAAAAAATTAAGATGTAATTTAGCTTAACCCTTTACAGTCCAAGCCTATTCAGCCTTTTCTACTCCCAGCCCCCAAGCAAGGGAACATAACTCCATTTTAAATGAAGGTTCTGTATCTAATTAATTTACAGAAAATAAACTAGAAGCAACAAAATAAAATTAAAAATACCTAAATACAAAGAAATGATTTAAGCAAAAGTTGCACCTAAAAACAGTTTCGGGGACCCTCCCACTTTGATTTGTGAAACATTCCTAGACCACTCACGATCTTGCTGATCAGTTGGAGTGGAATTGATAGGTCCATTGTCATCGATGTCTCTACTATTACTATTATCTTCTTCACTTGAATCACTGTCACTAGTAGCGTCATTTAAATTAATGTTTTTATCAGATTCTTCACTATCACAGCTAGACTCATGAAATAGTGAAGCCTTACTAGGCCTAAGTTCTTTCAAAATTGTATACAAGGCTTAAAAAAGCCATTTTTTACAGTGAAAAAAAATCGCAACTTTTAAAAAAATCTTAGAAAATGAACCCTTAAACACACGGCGTTCAAACTAGTATCAAAATACATCAAACAAGGAGGCTTTCTTCCTGTAGAATTATAAATAGTAATGCGCAATGGATTTCCGCTGTGCTAAGAACGAAAGTAAACAACCTCAAAACGGGCAGTTTGGCTGTAATGGTCTGTAGGCTTAAGGAAAAAATCTGCGCATTTCGGGCGCATCGGACTGTAAAGGGTTAAAAATTCCTTACTGCTATAGGTATACAGATTGTGTTTAGCTGCCATAGAATAACAAATATAATGCATTACCTTCTTGCTTTATCTGAATGGTTGGTTTGCTGAGGGTTTTGACTTGAATACCGCTGTTGGTAAGTTGGGATGGTGTCATCTGGATACTACCTTGTGATGTTGCATGTTGAGACTGAGACACCTGGATTCCGGCAGAAATATTGTGAGGTGTGACAAGTTGTGGGCCCATTGGAATTACCACCCCAGGCTTTGGTTGGGGCTGAAAGAGAAATCAGAAAGACTTTACTAAAAGTAAGAAATAGTAACATATAAAATGAAAATGGCCAATGATCCTTTGAGAAAGGACTTTAGCAGCAACAGAGGAGGTAAAATAGAGGATGTAAAATTTTGAGTTTTACTACTAAGCTGAACAGCAAAAGTATCAGCACTTGTAAACACAGAAAAAAATGGAATTTCAATCTCTTACAATCATGGCTGGGTACCGCTGTCTAGGCACAATTCTAGGACGAACTTTTCCCAAGCCTATCTGAACAGATGGACTGAACATTGCAGGGGAGGATGAGCTTATAGTTGATGTTGGCATTGTAACTAAAAAAAAATGTTTTAATGCTTGTCAGAAGTGGTAGAACGACAAGCAAACCAAATCCTATAAACAACACACATGCAAAAAATACTGTTGACTAAGTGCTTTTAATAAACTTTGACCATTTTACCAAAAGCATCCAAAACATTACAATTATAAAATAAAGCCAAAAATCTGCGATGAAACAGAAAATGTAACTAACACTAGCTTTGCTTTCGATGTAGCAAATAATTTAATCATGATTGACTGATATATTTTTGAGAAGTGTAAATAAACATAATGTCATTTGCAAGCTTCGGTTTCATTAAAATAAATGTTAAAATTATGTAAAACAGCTATGTCGTATAAATATATAAAAAATAAAGTGCCTGAATTCTTTTGCCAGGAACCTTACCAGTTGTTGAGACCAAACTGGTGCCTGATGTAGATGTTATAACACCAGGATATGCTGAAACCACTTGAGCTACAGATTGTGTAGTTCCACCTGGAATCAGCACTGAAGATCTGGGTAGACTAGTACCTCCATAAGTGGTCAATGTGGTAGGTGGGGTCCTTACTATAGGAACAGACGACATGGAGCGCTGGATTACTGTTGATACTGGACCTGCACTTGTCACTAAGATGACCTTTGGAAAGATATATTTTTGTATTAATTCATTTATATGTTGCTTCTCAGCATTAATACAATAATTTATAGCAAGCAATTGTAAATTATACAACTCTTAAATGTTTAAAAAGGCCTTAATAAATTCGTTCAAATTGCATTCCTGTGGAGTTGAACCAGATTAAAATCCAAATCTTCCAAAAATAAGAAAACTTGTCACATTATGGGAGAGTTAATTTTCATTTATGTTAAAGCAAACAAATATTTTACCTTTGGAGGCTGTGAGGTAGACTGCACGGTGACAGGCCGGCCCTGAGGACTTTTGCTAATGGTTATTTTAACAGGCGAAGAGCCGGGCAGAGTGCTTGATGCTGTTGTGTATGTGATGCGTGGTGTTTGTGTTGAGACAGATGCTGCACTGTTGCTGTCTGTAGAAAGACTACGATGACTGCTGCGCCTTGAGGGCATGCTTAGATCTTCATCATCATCCTGACTTAGCATTCCTTATTGAAAACAATATAATAAATGGTGAAATTTGGTGGGTGCTTTGAAAAAATTTAGCGCCGTCTGTTGACAAATTGAATTGTAAAACAATGCCATATAACATTATTTAATGATAGACATAATCTTATATACCTTTGATATGAATAGATGTACCACTTGGAAGCACAACAACATTAGATGATGGACTAGATGGTCTAGGAAGTTTGGGCAGTATTGCTGGGGGACCTGTTGTTTTTTTTAAGAAAAAAAAGTTGAATAAAAAAGAATATACTACATTTATGCTGAGATATTAAAATTCTAATAACTTTATACTAAAATAATGGATGTAATGAATATACACAATCAGGAATGCAGTTGCTGATGTTAATTCCTTTCTGTTATAACTTACCATCTTTATTTGAAGTCTGAGAAGGTGGTGGTAGAGATGCGTTCTTCTCCATCATAGCACTGGCAGCCTGATTTGCTGTGGCAGTGAATGCTGTTTGTGGCACCAGCCTTGGCATAAGGGGGACAAGTCGACGACCCTCAATAGTCCACTCTGCTGTACTTATAGTACCGGCAATACTAGAAAATGAAAATAAACATTTTTAAGTGAACTGAAATAGTTAGCATGAGGCAAAAATCTTTACAAAAATCTTCAGAAAACAATAATAATTAGACTGAACTATAAAAATGCATTACCAAAATCCAGAATAGAGAATATGCAGAAAATTGTTGAACAGTTATGCCCTAGAACATGATCTTACTTGTCAGCAATGGTCGCCAACTTTTCATCATTAATAGCGCGTCGTACTTCAGCCCTGTGCCGCTCAGTAGAGATGCTAAGAGAATAAAATGCATAAACTCTTGGGAAATTGAAATAATATTTACTCTTTGTTCTAAAAATAACTGATATGGCCTTTAAAATAAGTTGTTTTTTTTGAAATAAGCCAATTTTCATCACAATCATTAATCTTTGCTGTTTAAGACATAACACGGGTGGAAATAACTATTTTATTTTAAAACTGGCATTACCTTAATGTTTTTTGAAGATCCTGCAGTAATTTTTTCTTATCTTTTGATAGATCTCCTTGAGCACGGAACACTGAAATAATTGATGCGTATGCTTCCAGTTCCAACCGCCGCAGGATGCGCTTGGACTCATCCTTGGTGTAGTCAAGAAGCATTGGCCACATCTTAACTTTAATATCATCTGATCTAAATATATATCTATAAAAGAAAATTAAATACAATTAATTTTCTGCAAAGTAAAGATTTCTGAAAGCTGCTTTTTTCCATAATTTCCAAATGCTGAGTTTGTATTGTAATGTAAATTAAAAAAAACATTAAGTCATTTTCAGTCAGAAGTCACCAAAAACAAAGAATAAATCTAGAAACTGGCCCTGAATAATGGGAAGAAAATTTTTACTAACAAGGATGTGACAAAAACTGCTGTTACGCCAACATGCAGGATCAAAACTCCATACAAAACTCCCCGAAATTCTGTACACATGAATGGAAAAAAACGAACACAAAAGCAGAAAATTTAAATAATCACCTTTTGAAAATTGCATCACTTTTTAAAAATTAATCAGCACTTTTATTTTTCACTTCTCATTTTTAATGTTGGAGTATATTTTTCGGCAAACAATATACCCCAACAATCGCTCTTCTATTTTGGGCTTTACCCTACCGTGCATTTCTCATTTGCTTTTCCTAACGTATTTGCACTTATGTCAAATGTCTGGATTAGTTCTCAATACCAAATAACAAAAACTGCATTTATTTTACACTACAAAATGACGTGATTAAATATTGTGAATTTATTTGTGCTGTCAGTGATCGTGTACCCCACTGAATTTATTTATGCAATCAGCGATTGTGTACACCATTGATTTTATTTATGCTGTTAGTGATTGTGGACTTTATGAATTTATTTATGCTATAATTGATTGTGTACCCTAATGAATTTATTTATGCTATCAGGGATTGCGTACCTTATTGAATTTATTTATGCTGTTAGTGATTGTGTACCCCACTGAATTTATTTATGCAATCAGCAATTGTGTACACCATTGATTTTATTTATGCTATCAGCGATTGTGTACTTCACTGCCTTTATTTATGCTATCATTGATTGTGTACCCTAATGAATTTATTTATGCTATAATTTATTGTGTACCCTAATGAATTTATTTATGCTATCAGGGATTGCGTACCCCACTGAATATATTTATGCTATCAGTGATTGTATACCCCAGTGAATTTATTTATGCTATCCGTTTGGATTTTTTAAAACAAAAGAACAATCACTCAAATTCCACAGGTCAAATTCACATTTAAAGTTTCCAGCCGAATATAGGCTTATAAATACAAAAAAGTGATGCTTTACAATTCTCAGCGAATATTAATTAATATATTATTATTAATATATTAATTGCTTACTTTTTTAATTCTAAATCAAAAATTTGAACTACTGTGTATTTGGGAACAGATAAAAAATTTCCCAAAACTACGAGAGAAAAATATACTAAATCAATTCGATTATCTACTAACACATTTTTTACAAAATAGTATTTGTTCTCTTTCCATTTAAATCTGATAGGCTTACCAATCTAAAAATATTTACATTTATAAATAGATGCCAGCAAAAGACATGGGTGCCCAGATGTTTGCTGCCACTTTAAAAACAAGAATTAGAATGCTACCATCAGTTAATGCATCCTTTAAAGATAACTTGGGTAAGGATATTTGAATGACCCAAAATTATAACAATGAAATTTCTAGAGGAGACAGTAGATTTATATGAAAACCTTGGCCTTGATATTTAGAATTTCTTTGAAAAATATTAAACTCCTTTGAAGTGACTGATGATCTGTTCTTTATATAACATTAGTGGGCTGGGCTAAATAATACAATGGTCGATATTAAGAAGGGCGAGATATGCCCCAAACAGTGAAACATATTATGCCTTTAGCGTAATCCAATGCGGATAGAGCACATTACTTCTTTCCACACATATGCCATTACTGATAAGTGTAGCTTTACCAGTTTTTGAAAAACAATATAATGGATGATAAATATTATACAGTTTTATAGAATAAAATTAAACAAACATCATCTAACTATAGTCGTTCTCAAGTTATGGATTTTAAAAAATATATGAAAATGTGAGTTAGTTTGTCCAATATTATGATCTGCTTATGAATCAGAATGTACCGGTAGCATTAGTAAGGACTGCATCCCCTCATTTTGAGACCCTAATCTGTTAATTTCATTTTTACATAATACCGCTGTTAATTTATTATTGGTAAAAAATGCCTCTTTAACACTAATTGTTAATTTATGCTGTCATGTTTTAAAATAGGTGCCTTTTAAGCAAAATAATGGGATCATCATTACAATAATTAACAATGAAAAAAAATTACTCTCAAATGTGCAGATGTCAAGTGAATAGCCCTACTATCGGTAATAATGATATTCACTCAGGTTAATTTCATTAAAGTTGACATCTTTGTTTCAAATAAATTATAATTTAACTGCCAGTATTAAAAAACTTAGTGCTAAGTGCAAAACTGAGCCTGAGATGAACACATGCTGATGACCTGCAATCACCCCCTTGCCTCAAAATACTGTGCAACTCAATTACAAACATTTATAATTTATTAGCTAATTCGAAAGAAATTAAGTTGAAATCTGGTGAGTATTGCCCACAAACCCGCGGAAACAGGAAGTGTTGAATTTATTGCTCACATGTATCACCACAATAAAAAATTAAGCCCTCAGAAGCCATAATTATTCCTGGATCTCAGCTTGTCCCAGCCAGTCACTTCATAAAATAAATCTACTGAACAAAGAAAAATGTCATTTCTCTATCTTATTTTTCACAGTACCAATATTTATATTCTTTCACTTCCTGTAATCCTACTTCTGGCAACAAAAGGAAATCTCTAAATTTTTTAGTCTTATCTGATACTTGTTACACTTCTTCTTATCTTGTTTTTTGAAAAAGGCTCTAAGCCAAAACGTCAAAATCGTTTGTCCTGTTTGTGAATTCAAGTTTGGCATACATTGTTCTTATATTTCTTTTACACAACTTGAATGCAGTCCTTCAATTATTATCTTTCAGACATATAATGTTGGTCTAAGATTATAGTCTGTGGGACCTAATAGATTATCTAATATTCTGAGAGAAACACTGTCAATATGGACTGATTGCATATATTAGGCCAAGCCTAATAATAATTTAAATTAAAAATTTTCTTTGGAGAAAACCCTTTTGGGTAAAAGTGCAGTTCTAGTGCATATACTATCTTAACAAATTTTGTATTTTTGCATGTAAACATGTAAACTTACTTGTATTCTTTCTTAAATTAACTCCACGCAGTAATGTTAACTAACACTAAATTGTACAACGAGTTCAACACTAGGTTTTCTATTTATTTGATGTCTAAAACGTCTTTGAAAAGCCACAAATGGAACATATTTTTTTCACCCTATATGCCAGATTTGTTCACCTAAAAGTTGGTATGCTAAAAAAAATATTCAAACTCAAGACTCAAGGCATGGTCACAAAAAGTAAGCAAGAAATTACATTTATATTATTTTTATTAGTAAATTATTTAGGTTAAACGTAAATAAGTTCAAGTTATTTTATCATAAATATATCATGTCGTTGGAGGAGTTTCAAACTGGATTGTAACACACTTATCCTAACACTTATACTAAACACCATTTTGTCAATATTGTTATAAGTTATACAGTACCCGTCAGTATTTGAATATGGGTAATCAATTGTATGTGTACTAAGTTAGGTCTAGATCCATTCACCCATGCAGGGGCCTTTATTATATTTATATGGGCTGGTTTTAAGTTAGCGTTAAGGCCGACGATGTGTTCCACGGAATATAGGTCACGGAGGTTTCCCCAGGTCCATTTCCACTACAGCGCCGTCTACAGTGCCATGCTAAAAAGATTTCGATGTTTGTATTTACATAATGCAAGTTATAGTTTTATTTTAAATTTTTTGTTAAATTGGGACGGGGTACTGGGGAGGGGAGACCCCTCCCCAGACAATTTTTATGTTTCTTATTTTGGTATTTAAAGCAAGGGGAGGGGTTTGGGGAGGGTCTCCCATCCCCATTTTCTAGAAGATCATTCCAAATGCAATTTAAGCAGTAGTACTTTTGTTACCTAAGTTTCAACATACTGGTATTTTTAACTAATCAAAATACAGAAATTTTGGCAGGCGTCTTTTTTTCCCACTGGTGTTAGGTCTTGGGGTATCAGCCAGGATGTGTTTCTTTTTTCCTTTCTTTTGAAACGTGTAAGTTGAATTTTGATACAAATTAATGTAAAATTTAATTTCAATGTACTTTATATTAACCGTATCGTTTATGATGCGAGTAATGCTCAATAAAGAACAGGAAAGTTATAACACATCGTTCGGGTCCTTCAAAGAATAGATCTATTCACCCCAAGTCCACTGTTGGGATTCCCCAATGAATGTGACGTCACTGCGCTAAGAGTGAGAAAACTATTGGCAAAACCCATAATAATGTTAACTCAAAATGTACCATTTATATGATTTAGTTTTTATAATTTAAAAAAAAAAAGAATTGTACCCCTTTCTTTTATTAAGTATAAGTTAATGAATTATTTATTAAATTATATATTATATTTATATATATTATATAGATTTTCTATCATTATTCGTTTTAATAATTAACTATGCTACCATAAAGTAAATGGTAAAAGTATGGGGGTTGGAAATAAAGATGCTAAAATAAGTTAATTTATCATTAATTTAATTATCTAATTGTTCTAGATCAGTTACTAATTTAATAGTTAGCAGATTTCCACCAAAGAAAAAAAATGCCTAGATGATTGACTGAACTGAAGAGGCTCAACAGAGATTAGATATGGTTTTACTTTTAAAAAAATAGGAAATTAATAAATAATAAGATGGGGAATGAATTACCTATATAAAATGATGGATTATTACTTCCTGAAATAACACAACATAACTGTTAATAATGTTTTCTAAAAATTTGTTATGGAAAATGAAAAAAACTGCAATTTTGCCGCCATCTTGGGCTGATGCGCATGCGTAGGAAGTAATATAAAAACTTATTTTTATTAACTAGATTAAGGAAAAACAAAATTTAAAAGCCATACATAATCATGTCCTAAATTACTTAATTATTATTTCTAAATTTATTATTTTTAAATTAAGGTCTTTTGGTAAGACGTAGATGTTTTTTTTATGTTAATATACATTTTTATCAAAAATATAACTATTTCTTTACTCGTGAAAAAATGTAAATATTAATTTTAACTTTTGTTCGAGGCCAAGGGAAATAATTTTTGAAGGCTAGGAATGTTTTCATTGACAACTTTGAAGTAAGATTACTATATTATACGAAATAAATATTAGTAATATACGATATATATAGTTTCTAATAGAAGTATGAGATTTTGGTAATTTTTGTAAATATCAGCTCGGTAAGCCATCAGCTCGACTAAACAAATGGTATCATCTACCCACACTTTTCTGCAACATTCGTTAAAAAAAATATTTTAATTTTTAATGGGCACAATTTTGAGAGAGTTTCAACGACTCAGTGCACGATTTATAAAGAAATTCCGAATTATTTATAAATGTATAAATTTTTAATAACTAAAATAGTCTATATCAATTAATCAATTAATATATTAACTTATAAGTCATTTTCTTCACTTCTACTATTACTAGAAGTAACCGGACTCCCGCCCCCCCCCCTTTTTTTGCCCAACCACTTCCCCCACTTTCACTATTCGGGAACCCTCAGCGCCCTGACTTTCTGCTCCCCTACCACCCCAAACCCGAATTTTGAATGACAATTCCTATCACTTTCTGAATGTTTGCAATGCTCAGTAAATCAAAGTTTCTGTTTACATGTGATAATTCAACAAAACTAAAACATCACAAACGGAACGCATGACATTTTTGTGATTCTTTTCTGTTACCGCATCTTTGGTGAGATAATGGGAAGCATAATTTCTATGTACATTCAAAATCCATCAAAAATTTTCTTACCGCTGGCGCAGTTTAGTGTTATTTATATAATTTACTTACTTTGGGGCTATCATGAAATTACGTAACACTAAAACAATTTTTTACCATCCCCCACCCCTTCATTTTTTTAAAAAATAATGAATTATTCCGCTTTACTATTCTTATCAGCACTGAGTCAATACAAAGACTGTTAAAATGATAAAGCTCATCATCTACTAGCATATCAATGGACTTTTATATGACCTTTACGATGGCTGAGACTTTGGAAATTCTTAAATGTGGTGTTAAGTTTGATCCGCCAGCCCTAGTGCTGAACTACAAAGACAGAAAGACGGGGAAGCTGAGGCAACGCTCAATGCCTCTGCGTAACTTCAATAAAAACACAGGCATTGATCACTTTATGGAAGATCTAAAATCCAATCCTCGACATTCTAAATTTATAAGACTACTCTCACCAGCACAACTTGTTCGTCTTTTGACAATAGTAAAAGATAAACTTAGTGGTTTGAGTTTAGAAGCAAGTATTGCCCGCAATGATGCTATGGATTCACTAAACCCTGAGGAAAACTTGAATAAAGTTGACCCTGAAACTCTCCAGCGGAAAAAATTAGTGATGGATTCATCTTTTGAGAAAAAAAGAAAGCGACCAGGAGATCCTGATTTTCAGTACAATATTGAGGTAGAGTTTGACACTGCTGCTGTAGAGACAAGTGGCTGGGATTCTGATGCATCTAATCCTGATTTTTAAATTGGTTGACATTTCATGTTTATGGTGCTATTCAATGTTGCCAAACTTGTGTTTTCAAATATCCAGCAAAATTAATACTGGTAAATAGTAAACCAAAATGCCTTGCAAAATGATAATTATTTTTCTTTTCGCATACAGTTTTTTTAAGCCATTGTTAATATTAATTTGTCTTTAACAAGTCAATCCTATCTTTAAAGATAGGTCATTGATAACTTAATTCTTACAGAATAATGCAGAGGTCTGTAAACGCTGGGCCTATTGTTGGAACAGTATATGGTATTCCTATGTTTTTGCAGTCCCACTTTGCTTGATGGCCCCTGCATTGCTGTGACATGCATCCCCTATCCAAATTACAAAAGGAACTATATTATCGACTATAGAATCTTTATTTATGTTTACTTGTACTTAATGTCGGTCCAGTGTATAAAATAATTCTTAATTATATATAAATACATGACACCTGGTGGGTTCAGGTTTAGGTATTGCCGGTACCGGTATTAAAAGTGTGACCCACAACACCATAAACAAAATTCTTATATGTTTTCATATCAATATCCAATTTCAATGTACATTTTTCATGCATGCCTCCAGGAACTGTCTTCCCTCTTCCAAACAAGATACATTATAAATCATGCTTGTGACGTAAGTAGACATGCCATCCCAGCATACATGCATTTTAGAATATTAAATTTGTCAACATGTTCCTAAATAGTATTTTATGTGTGAGAAATACAAAAGTAAAATAAATCAAGTTTAATTGAAAAAATACTTGGAGAAGGATGTGACCCCAACTTTCCCAGGGACAATTACACTTCACCAAATTGGTCCATCAATATATTTAAACAGAATGTGTTCATCCTTCCCTTAGTCTGAGATTTTTACTATGTGGACCTTAATTAACAAAACATATTTGTCAACTCTTGCTTTAGTTTTTTTCAAAATAATTTTGTCATAATTCCATCTAAAAAGATGTCAGTTGTAGCTTCTTTTTTTTTTATTTTAAGGAAATAATCACAGATTATAAATATTGAACCCATTCTTGTTCAGGTCCTTAAAAAAAAAAAAAAAGGCAGTTTTTTTTTTATTTTTCAAAATAATTTTTTCATAATTCCATTTAAAAAGATGTCATTTTTAGCTTCTTTTTTTTTTATTTTAAGGAAATAATCACAGATTATAAATATTGAACCCATTCTTGTTCAGGTCCTTAAAAAAAAAAAAAAATGGCAGTTTTTGTTTTCATCTTCACAATCTCTAAAATTGAAGAATTGATACCAAGATTTCTAGTTTGGTTGGGGGGTGGAGTTTAACAAAATTAATATGGGAAAGAAAAAATGTCAAATAACCGACATTGGAATATTAAGAATTCAAACTGAGGAAATAGTTATAGGCGTACTTAATTTTATTTTTGAGCAATCACTGGATTTTTTTTTTAAATTTGATTTGCTATATCGTATAAGGTAATAAAATTATACTTTTATATTTATGGCTAATATTTAGATGTTAAAAGAATGAAGCAAATGAGTGTCAAAAATATTGTGGCAACTGTGGCTAAGCAGCCAAAAGCTTGTTCAATTTTTTATAGCACACAATATTACAGCAAGAAAGAAGCAAGTGTTCTACTGCTACAGTGGATGTAAATGGATGAAAGACTGTTGGAAGTTTTCACAAGTGGGGAGACATCTGGCAAGATACTGACAGAGGGTGTGGTCAACAACATTTTGATGAAGTTACATTTTGACATGTCATAGGCCAGCGCTATGATGGAGCTGGCTTTACTTTTGGCCAGCATTCTGGATTAGCTACGCTCATCCTAAACAAGTGAGAAAAAAAATTGCTGTCTACATCTGGAGCAATGCACATCATTTGAATGATATGTTGCATTGAAAACAAGAAAACGCTTTGCCTTCTGGAGGATTCGCACACCTTTTTGAATAAACATTGCCGACATGCTGTCTCCCAGCATTCCCAAAATTAGTTTTGCCATCTTATGCAATGGATCGGAAAACAAAATGTTTTTTGATGTTAAAAAGCACATAAAAAGGAAACAAATTTTTCAATTTAAAAAGGGCTTTGTCAAAACTGTGTAATATATGATTAATGTGGATATTAATAATCTTAGGATCGGTCCAGGATTCTAAATATTTAACACTGGTTTCTCTAAAATTGTTATCTCATATTTATTTTTAACTATACACGACTGTCAATCCAGTTAAAAGTATACCAGTGTATTGATACTAATAGTTATAACATTTTCTTAATCAACAAATGAAATTATTTTAATGATAATTACTCATAATTATTAATCTATTTACAATTTTTTAGTACCGGTATACAGTTGTATTGATATTTTAATAGGTATTAATTATCTGTTCATTCAATATATTATAAATCTGTAATTAATCTTTAGTTGATCACAATGTATTGTTTCCATTCTTTACTTCTGGTTCCTTCTTTTTTCTAAAAATGTGTCATTAACTTTTACATTCTCCTTCTCGCTGTGGCATTGGCTCTTGATGACTTAACTGAAAGAAAAGGGAAGTGTTTTCATAAAGAGGGAATCTTGACCAATGTCTCTGAGATTGTTCTCATAGTTCTTAGGTATGTTGTATTTAAAAATGTGCCTATAAAATCTTGATAGATGCATCATGATTGTTAAGGAAAAAAAATCTACTAATAATATATGCAGGTAGCATACACACACAAAAAAAGTACCCCATCTTCCTTTAAAAAAAGAAATCGCATTTTTATTATGTTTTTATTTTATTTTGATTGTTCTCATTGTATGCAATAGATCAGCCCGCTGCATATGAACATTAATGAAAATCTCATACATTTTATGTCTATTTTTATTATAGTTATTTATAGAATAAATACATTTTAAAAAAATCATCCATTTTCTTTTTTAATTCAAATGATTGTTATGATGTGACTAAGGTATGTTAACAATTGGGCCTTCAGTAATCCAAACCATCACCAATACTGGTACAATGAACATGAAAAAAAAGGAGAAGACCAAAAAAAGCAGACATCTTTAACAAACACTCGGCCACAATCAACAAGGCAAACAAAATGGACAGGCAATGACCTATCACTTTGTCACAATCTTTGCCTGGGCGTCACCCCATTTTCCGTTTTGGAGGTTGGGACGCAGCTAAGCCTCTGTCATTTTGGAAGTTGGGGTGCAGCTAAGCCTCTGTCATTTTGGAGGTTGGGGTGCAGCTAAGCCGCTGTCATTTTGGAGGTTGGAGCGCAGCTAAGCCCCTGTCCATTTGGAGGTTGGGGCGCAGTTGAGCCGCTATCATTTTGGAGGTTGGGGCGCAGTTAAGCCGCATTCGTTTTGGAGGTTGGGGTGCAGCTAAGCCTCTGTAATTTTAGAGGTTGGGGTGCAGCTAAGCCTCTGTAATTTTGGAGGTTGGAAAGCAGCTATTCCGCTTGCCTTTTTTCTTCTTTGTGTGGAACTTTGCTGCGTCCATAATAGTAAACGACACAAAGCGTCTGCATTCAACGCCGTATTAACCCATGGGAGGGTCACCTAGGCTTCGAGCTTCTTTTTGCCCCTAGAAAATTTAGATATTTTTTTTATTACGCAGCATTGCCATGGCATGGTTAAAAGTTCCATGGGCCCCTGCTCTTGGTAGGCCCCCTAGGCTTCAGCCTAGTAAGCCATCTGGATAATACGGCCCCAGTTTGACTGTCTGCAGTATCCTGTAACTGTAAGACATTCTCGTCTCGCTTGGGAGAGACTGAAATCTGGACTTAAATGTTAATACTTCAGATTATGTGACATTCTCTCCGAAGTGATAAGTGCATCCAGTTACTAAAATAACAAAACAATTATATTACACTCTATCTATCCTGTTTTCGCTCTATCTATTAGCCCTGCATAACGCGCACTATTCGACTCTGTTAAATGCTTTAACTTGCACAGGGGACATAACAATGATTTTAAAAAAAAAAAAAAAAAAAAGACACTTGCCAAAAAGTGTTGTGATAAATTGCCTCTGTTGTAATTACGATGCTTCTCAAACTGTATTGGCCAAGCTGTGCTCAACGGCCAGTTCCTGTCAGAGGTGGAATGAGGCCCTGGACATTTTACATTTTGAGGCTCGGGGGAGATTTTTTTAAATGACTAAAATCTTTTTCAGATTAAATTGCTCTGTAAACAATATATATCTATATACAATTTTTATGCAGTAGCTCATTGTTTAGCTGGAGATTATATATATATATATATATATATATATATATTATAATGGTAGTCTATTTGGCGGGAGCCCAAAGGTCTGACTGACCACCCCCTTAATGCCCTTATACACCTCCCTTCAGAGGATGAGACCTGACAGACAACGGGATATTCAGGTCAAGGGCTTGTTAGATACATGATGATGTAATGGACGTCAGGCTGACGCTAAAACTGCCCATGACGCGTACATGGGCGCCCGCAGGGGGGAGGGGGCAAAGGGGCACTCCCCCCCCCCTGGATTGATTGGATAAAAAAAAATTAGACAAAAATAGAAAAAAAATGTATTAAAGTAAAAAGAAAATAAAGAGAAAGTAACTAAGCTGATGTCCTGTCCGTTCGTTCACCATACAAATACACTACAGTAAATTAAAACTACATTAAAACATTACTAAAAAAATTTTGCGCCCCCCCCCCTGGAAAGTCAATCGATTTTTTTACCCGTAGAAAGTTTTCTGCGGGGCGCTCATGTATCCGTACACTTTACATTATTTTATTTTCAATCTAGGGCCTGAAGTCTTAATGACTCCGATCAAAAGTCTCCGAGTCCATTACTCTATGACTATGAAGCAAGTAGTTAATGAAATAAAGACTTTTGAAGTGTTCTAAGCGTATAAAAGACGTGAACTGAAATGAAAGGAAATCGTTTGTCGCAATGTGGGCCACTTCACAAGCAAAGGGGCGAAATAAAAAATCTGATCAAGCTCCAGCGTAAAAAGTAAACCTTTAGTTTTTGAGAATCACTGGCGTGTACCGTAATAACACTATTCAGCAAGGGGTGAAATGGCGAAAGCAATTTCTCCTGCCACCAGCGAAGCACTCTTCTTACTAACACACACACCATATAGCAATTTAGACCAGAGCGATGTTAATGTCGAAAATTTGAGTTCTGTGTTGAGGCAGGAGTGGGTTTTAATCCTTTCAAACTTAGTGTACGCACCAGTTGGTTAGTCTACAGCCAGAGGCGTAGCTAAAGGGGTGGGGGAGCAGGATGAGACAGATGACCCGGGCGTCAGACCGGTGGCGGGGCGCCAAAAATCGGCTTTGATGGTGTTTTTTATTGATGAGAATGATGAGTTTCGGAGTTGAAAAGGGGGTGGGGCGTAAAAGTGAATCGTATCTCCGGGCACCTAATAGCTACGCCTCTGTTTACAGCAGGCGTCGGAGAACTTTTTAAGCCATTACCCCAAAATATATTTTACTTCGCTCCGTTACCCCTGGGATTTGAAAGGAATAAAACCATATACTATTTGAATTAAAAATGGTTTATAGAATCTGTTTATACAAATAATACTATTAGGTATATACAAAAATATAAGTTAAATGGAATACAATAAATTGATAAAATGCTCAGTATGGAACTAATTAGCGTACATATCCCGGTTGGTACACTGTACATTGGTACATCCAGGCTAGTACATTGGCAACCAGCTCCATCTCCTGGGCTGTGCCATATAACATTTTCTGGACTTGGGACTCTCCCCCACCCCCCCGCAACATTCAGTACAGGGCACGAAGTCAACAGATGCGCTAGTGTCTCCGGTGCTAGCGTGCAAAGCCGACAGGTTGGATCCCTGTTGTTGTCAAGATTGGAATTTTGTATACTCCAGACTTTGGAAAATGTTTTTGTTTCATGTTTGATAAAATATTTTAATAAAACTGGGACTATTATGTCAGAGCAATGTGTGTACTGTCTTTGGGGTTCTTTTTTAATTCTCTGATTTTTTTTTTTTAAATGCTCATCAGAGTGGACACTACATGTTCATAAAGAGGTTGTTGCAAAAGGCGCAGACACTTTTTATTTCTTACTGCCTCGTGAGCAATTTTAAAAGCATTTGCATCTCTTGACATCCAAAAAATATGACAGATCTGATTTATTTTCGAATTTTAATACTTGCTTCTTTGCTGGAACAAGGTTCAAGAAGTGCTTCATTATTGGAACGAGGTTTAAAAGAAATGCTTCATTTTTTGAACGAGTTTCCAGAAGTGCTTCATTTTTGGAACGAGGTTCAAGAAGTGCTTTATTGTTGGAACGAGTTTTCAGAAGTGCTTTATTGTTGGAGCGAGGTGCAATAAGTGCTTTATTGTTGGAAGGAGGTTCAATCAGTGCTTCACTGTTGGAACGAAGTTTAAAAAAAATGCCTCTGCCCAGTGCTTGAGGTTCACCTGCTACATCAGCAATTGCACAATTAATGGGACCAACAGCCCAACTTACGGCACGGGAACCAAGATCTCAAAAGCAATCAGCTAATCGCTCTTCAATTTTGGCAAGGTGCCTACTTTATCCCCGATATCATCAAATGTAATATGTTCAAATTGTTCCAAAAACAAAGCTACGTTTTAAATGGCAGGCTACCTTTTTAAAACAATTATTATTAATATGCTTCCTATTTTGATATAAAAGCTTTGATTCAAAGGCTGAAATTAGATTGATATATTTTTTTTTACTTTGCTATTCTTTGTTCAATGCATTCACATACCCCAAAATGTCATCCTAAATAAATATGCAAGATGTGCAGTCCACGAGGAGTGTGTCAGCCAATCTCGGAGAACATGCTTTTGATTAACCCTTCAAAAAAAGTGAAGTTTTAAGAGCCCCCACTTGATTCAGAGCATTACCACGTGGCAGCCACCTGACTTCTGTATGATAAAGTTTTGGGTTTCTCATTCCCTGGGGTTTCGCTTATCCCGGGAAAACGGGCATAGAGTTGTCCTCATCCCGGGATTTCCAGGGTTAAAAATAATGTAATTAAAAGTATGTTGTAAACTGAATTAAACTATAAAATCCTCTATTAATGACTTTTTTTTTTTAAAACAAACGACACTTGGTCACGTGCTTGTAGTTGCTTCATTGTCCACTGTTTATTGCCATTCATGGATAAATAACTAATCATAAGTTTTAAGCAAAAACTGGATATAGCAAACTGTAGAAAAAAACAAAACAAAAAAAAATACCCTCAAAACTTGATTAGTTTTGCATTCTTGACAGGTCGCCAATTCTAGTTTAGAATCTGTCACGAAATATTTACATGCAAATGCTTATACTAGCTAGTAACAAGGGATTGCTTCGGATAAAAAAAATAAGAATTTTAATAGGTGTATCTATAAATGTACGACATGTCTTACCAAGTTGCAAATAAAATTTAAAAAACCACTATACATAAAATAAATGTACTTGAGTACATGAGTATCTAGGGACCAGTGCTATCTTTAGGCATGGGCCCAGTGGGCACCATGGCCCAGAGCCAGAGGCGTAGCGTGGTGGTGGCGGGGGGGGGGGGACAGATGTCCCCGGGCGCCAGCTAGTTAGGGGCGCCAAAATGTGCTTTGATATTATTTTATTGATGAAAATAATGGGCTTGAGAGTTGAAAAAAAGAAAAAGGGGCGCTAAAATGGATCTTGTCCCCGGGCGCGAATCTTGTCCCCGGGCGCCAAACACCCTCGCTACGCCACTGCCCAGAGCCCCGCGCTTGTAGGGGGCCCCACGTTTATAGGAGACTCACTCTTATAGAGGCATCATGCTTTACATATTGTTAATGAGTATTGAAAGATTTTGACAATTTGATTGGATTTAAAATTCCCATTTTCTCCGTCTGTGGAGAGCAGGAACTGTTTTCCACCCCCCACCCCAGTGTTTCTTTCAGAAATTTTCCCCCGGGAGGGCACTTCAGATTTTC